GTGCGGCTGGACCAGGTGGAAAAGTGGGAAGCTCAAACCAGCACTACCTTCTACCCGGATGGATCCCGGGACTGGGAGTATGCGAAATTTTGCTTCCGTTGCTCCCTGTTCACCCTCGTCACCTTTGCGGATCACCTGTACGGTTGTCATTTGCAGGCTGCCAATATTACACTGCAGGCGGCCAGAGAGCAACTGTCCACAGCCCCTTGGCTATGTCGTGCCGAAACTAGGGCTGAGCGATCTCGTGCCAGTTGGCTTGAACTGGTAGGTTCCCGTGCCTACGTCTCTTGAGCACTCTTCGTCTCGCCGTGCGTGCAAAAGCCCGAACCAAAGTTTCTCAAGCTCGAACCGCGTCCCAAAAAATCGGGGGGGGGGGGGGGGACGCAACAGCGCACAGCTCGAAGCAAGTCCCAAGGCTCTTTTTTCTTGCTGAGGACCACCCGCTGCGGCGGTTTTTGGTGCCGTTCTCCTACGGGTCCTTTCACATCAACGACCAGGCGCGGGCCTTTCTGGTGACCCGGGACTCCTTTCTGCCCCGGGCCACCGCCCTGGACGACGAGGGCCTGCAGATCGCCTGGGCCTCCGCCCACAAGCTGCTGCCCCCGGGCTTCGCAGGAGACCGGAAACAACCTAGATCCCATGGGAACGTGGGTGCCACGTCCTCAAAACCCGGGTAGATGAAGGTTGGCAACGGGCAGTTTTTAGCCGGAAGCAGGTGTGGCCGCCCTTCTGATTCTTGACATGGTTGTGGGTTCACCAATTCTTGTACCAGGTTTTGATTGCGACTCACGGGAACATGGGAGACTGCAACAGCGCCCTGACCAGCACCCTGGCATCCACACAGCACCGACAGCAGCCGCCACACCACTGCCAAACATCACCCTGCTTCGCACCCTGACCTGCGCTCATAGCAGCACCAACAGCAACGGTACCCTGACCTGCGGCTCGCAAACCAGGCACTGCCAGTAAACACCACTGCCTTGAGCGCCCCCACACAGCGCCCCGGACCGACACCTGCAGCGTTGATCTGGCCCAAACTCGCAAAACAGCCTGCCCCTTAGCTTTCGAGCTTTCTGGGGAACTGGGGAAACGCATGGAGCCAGCGCTCAAAAAGGTAGATGCTTGTTTGTATGTTTGCCGAACAATATGCAACATGTGTCACGCTTTGGTGGCTAGATGTGCGGTGAAAGTGCAAGCCAGCAAGGCTGCTTGCTTGCTGTCATGCGGCTTGTTCTTGAAGAAGCAAAGTTCTTTTCAGCAAGTGGCTCTTTGAGCTCAGGCCGATCATCCCACGGCAAACATGCCCCCTACTTCCCTACTTGGATTGGCCAGGAAAGGAAACATCCTTGGGCTTCAGCATAAGCTCGCCCTGAGCGGAGGGGCGAGCGGACCCGTTCGGTGAAGCCGGGGCGCACCTGTCTCATGGGCGTTTTTCAAATTGCATGCCGACGCCGGCTGAGCTGCCGGAACACTTGGAGAGTGTACCACCGAACGGTAGCATCAGCAAATGGTATAGTTCACGGATGCTTTCCTCACGGACTGCTTTTCCGACAATGAACGCTTTCGTCACCCAAGCCACCGCCTTCTTGTAGCTTGTTTCTTCCAAATTGGTCCACCGAATGATCTCCTCACCGAATGCTCGAAGAATGCAAGGGAGCGAGAGAGAGAGAGAGAGAGATAGCGATGCTGAGGATGCCCATACTATTCTTAAACGAGCATCTTATGCTCATCTCGTTGCTTCCCTTCCGCCGATCCGCAAACAAAAGCTTGGCCAGAGATCAGCCCTTTGCCATTGGGTGTCAATCTTCCTTCCTTGCCTTTTCCAGTACAATAAACAGCATGCTTTCCTATCACCTTCAGTTTTTTACCTTCAGTTTTTTTTACCTTCAGTTTTACCTTCAGAGGGTTTACCTTCAATGCCATGCTCCTTCAGTCTCCTCTGGTTCTGGCATAGACCCTGAGGAGACTCCAGCGATCCCTTGGAGCAGCTGGAGGCGCTGCTGGACCGCGAGGCCTTCCTGGAGCGGCAGCGCCAGGCGGGGCTGTGGACGCCTTACTTCGAGCAGGCGCGGGCAAAAATGCTGGGCCACCTGAGCCACCTGCCACAAAACCCGTGAAGCACCGTCAAAATTGCTTCGTTGAGTTTCGTATTCGGTGTTTCAGTGATATTGCGAAAATGCACAAAACCATGGCAAACGATAGGGGACTCTCAAAAAAACGATACCCCTGGAAGAGGATGGAAACGCTGGAAAACGATAGGGGACTCTCAAACTAAGTAGCGAAACGGCCGCAAGTAAGTAATTTCGATAGTGGTTTTGCCCCCCTGTATTCAGAACAAGCTTTACTATTAACTAGTGAGCAAAAAATATAATATGGGCCGCTTTTGTGGGTCAACAATCGGGTAACCAACCAAAATGGGTTGCGCTGGTAAATGGAAATATGGACGAACACCTGTGCAATTTTGACCCACACCCAAAATGGAACGCTGGTCAACATCAGTTGGGCTGAGTGGGTTACAGTATTCTTTGCAGTGGTTGGTTGGTCCTTGTTGATTCCGCTACATGTGCAAATTCGCTGAAAGTGAACACTTGCGTGTGGGTAAAAAAATGTGTAACCAACCAAAATGGGTTGCCCTGGCAAATGGAAAGGACTAAAACCAGAGGTCTGTTTTTCTGGTGGTTTATTTTTGACCCATACCCAGGCGCTGAAGTTCTGGAAGATCATGAAGCGCTTCGTCACGGCCTACCTTGACCACTACTACGGCACCGGCCCGGCCGGGGATCTGAAAATCGAGGCGGACCAAGAGGTCCGGCATTTTCTGCAGCAGGGCCTGCGGGCGATGGAAGCCTTGCAGAACCCGATGCTGCAGGCACGAGAATCATGCGTGACCCTTGTGCCCGACGTTTTGAATTCACTTCCCTCTCCGGTGCAAAACAGCATTAAAAAAAAAAAGCACATCTTGCTTTTCGCTCCAGAGCTGCACTTGCCACTGGGTTGGAGTTCTTTGGTCGCTTCGCTCGCAGCTCGGCGACTTCTGGACGTCTTTGACCGCGGCCAAGAAGCGGACGCTCCTGGTGAACTTCCTGACCCGGTTCTGCGACATTGTGACCGCGGGCCACGAGCAAGTGGGCGCCATACAAGCCTACGCCCCTGGGCCACGGCAACAAGCCTTCGCCACCAAAGCTGTTGCATCGGTTTCAGGGGCAGTTTGTTTGCTTTTTTTTTTCTTCTTGGGGATGTGACCTTGGAGAGCGAGTGCAACGTGGAAGGGCGATGATGTTGTTGATTTCATCCTGTTCCTGCTTTGCTTTTGTGCTTTCAAGCTCGCCCATTCCGTCCCCTGAAGCCACCATCAATGCCACCTACACATCCATGTAACTTTGTCGGAATCAATCTTCAATCAATCGTGAATCAGCCATGGACCCACTTTTAGTTCAAATTAATCTAAACCCATTCCAGACCAACTTTCAACCAACCCTTGCACCCACCCGAAGCAAGCTGGCATGGACTGTAATTCAACATTGCTTCCACCCTGGATCCACCCCCATTCAACCCTCAATGCCAGCATAGGTCAACACTTGACCCACTCTAGATCTTCTTAAGCTTGCCTGAACCAACTGCAGATCAGCTTTGAACCTACCTTGTTAGGGTTGGTTTAAGGTCGGTTTGCGGTTGGTTTAGGGTTGATTTTTTTTCTGTCTTTGTCTCTGTCTCAGTCTCTTTTTCCGAGTATGTCTCTGTCTCTGCCCGTTCTGCCCGTTCGCCAGTTCTGCCCGTTCTGCCCGTTCCGCCTGTCTCCCTGCCTGCCTGCCTGCCTGCCTGCCTGCCTGCCTGCCTGCTTGCCTAATCTTAGCTTGCTTGCTTGCTTGCTTGCTTGCTTGCTGGCTTGTGTGCTGCTTCTTGTTTGTTTGTTTGTTTGTTTGTTTGTTTGTTTGTTTGCTTCCTGGCTTGCTTGTTTGTTTGTGTGCTTCGTATGTCTCCGTGCACGCGCATGTTTGCCAACTGATGGGGGGAATCCTCGCACGCATGCTTGCCACATTTTATTTTTATTTTTATTTTTTGGGGGGGTATCGGTATCTTCCTCGCGCGGGAGGGGGTGCTACACGCCCAGGGGCAAGATGCCTCCTTTTGTGCGTTCTCCTGGCCGAAGAGCCTGCGCCAAGAGGGTGTCATGGCAGCGCCCAAGGAGGTTGCTTTGGGCACGATCTTGATTGTAGCACCTCGGCGCGGGAAGCTTAGCAAGTCTTTTGCCTTTGTCAAGCCCATGAGGATAGAATCAATATGCCTGCAAAAGGACGTGTTTGCCATGAGGAAAGATGCAGTTTGCTAAGAGCGGCACTGAGGCTCTCACTAGCACGCCGATGCCGCCGTTGTTGGCCCGAGACGAGAAGGACGACTGGTCCCACCTCTTCCCCGCAGCATCGGAACAGGACCGTCAGAAGACGAAGAACATTTTCAAGGCCTTCCAGGCAGACCTCAAAACGTCCGCGGAACGCACTTGGCACCCGTGTCTGTGTTTCCATTGGCGTATGCGGAGGTTCCGCAAAAATGTGCATCTTTTGTCGAGCTGGAGCCTGGGGCTTCGGCATATTAACTTTGGTATGTAGGGCGTTGAGTGGTAAGTTTAGTTCCGCACGGCCCAAGTCCCACGACTCTTGAGGTTCTCAGTGGAATGTGACGAGTACAATGCGCGGACGAATCAGCGATCCTTCCCAGATGACTTTGGGCTTTGGGTCTTCAACCCCAAGAATTTGGAGACCAGCGTGTCCATCTGACGGCTTCTGCGAAGATCGCATCAAATCACCGGCGCGAGGGACAAGGACTCGCACGGTAAGCGCTTCGCAGCCAACGCTGCAGTCCTGGCCTTCGGTTTGCAGACGTCTCAAGCGCCCTCAGGTCCCGTCGTGGCTCAGGAGAAAAGGGGCGCTTTGGGCCAACCGACGTTTTTGCATGCAGTGAGCGGGCAGCGAACGGACTTGTGGCGAAGCTGCATTTGGCAGGCTGAAAGATCTACGAGAGCTGAAAGTGACCGGCAGGCCAGGGCCCTCTGGACCTGGAGAGAACGGGGCCAGATTGGACAATGTCCACGTCATCAAAGTTTGCCTCCAATTAAGTTTGAAAGAGCACTGCTCCTTGACTCCGGAAACTCCTTGACTCCTTGACTCCTCAGGTTGTCGGTGGAAACAGGCCACCTCTTCCAGCAGAAGCCGCAGCAGGCCGGCGCCTGACTCGCACTGGACCCTTCACCTCCTTGTATTCGCGCGGGGAGGGGCTTGCTCCCATGTTTTGGCACGGCCGGATGCCTGGAGACACGCGCAACCGGAAGCGGTTTGGCTTTGATCGCCAGGACATCCAACTCTTTTTGGCCGGGAAGTCCCTGAAGTACTGCTGCTTGGCGGTTCTTTGGACTTTCGCATCCCTGCCTGGCAGAAGCTGCGTGGTTGTCTGGTTGTCTGGCGGATCCCATCCCAGGTAAGCTGAAGACCAGCAGCTGCCAAACAGGCAGGACTTCTTCATCCGCATCGCCGATCTCAACGACACCTTCCGGGGTCAAACATGAAATCAAAGCCACACTCCGTGCTTACATCTTTATGCCCCTTTTCTGCTCTTTTCCCTTTTCCCTTTTCTTCCATTTTTCTTGCCATGTTCTTTCATTTTTGCTTCGGTTCTTCCTGCTTGTTGGTTTCCGGCGCTTCGGCGGTGGCCACGGGGCCCCGCTTGCCCCAGGCGACGACGACGTGGAGATGGGCGTGGCCACCGACGAGGTCTGGACCGACGAGAAGGCGGGGGAAGTCTTGGCACGGCCACGCCGGGTTTTGCCGATTCGTCCGCTGCCGCTGCTGGGCTTGTGACAATTCTTCATGTGCAGCATTTGTTCTATTTCTTCATCAGCATGGATTCGAGACAGCCAGAGCTGCTGTTCGGCCGTTTTCTCACAGCCCGACGAGTTGTTGGGGTGCACGAGGGAGATGTGCGCGAGAGGAGATGCAGTTCCCCACGCTCACGGGAAACGCGGCGAAGCGGCGGCCTCGGCTTCCCGGGCCCTGCAAAGAAAAAACTTCTCGAGCGCCGGGTCGGATTTTTTTTGCTCGCGGCTTTGGGCGCACGCATAGAAGCTGGCGCGAGCGGTAGGCTCAGTGCGACCGCGTTGGGCTAGCTGATTGCAAGCAAGCCGATGGCAGATTTGTTGTATTCGATTCCAGGGACAGTTTGTGTTCGTTCGGGCCACTGCGGGTAAGGGGAGCGCTAGAACCCCGGGGACCAAACGGAACGCCCCTCCAACATGGCACTCCGGCAGACACCTACCAGGCAAAGAGTTTCTCTTCTGCCAGATACGCAGCTGAAGTCTTGCCATCTGGACCCATGATTTTGCCTGGCCTGCCGGGACTTGTAGTGACCCGCCAGAGATGATGGGCATTGGATTTGAGGTCCACCAGCGCGGAGGCGCAGCTCTTGCCCTTCCTGAGGCCGGGTCCCGTGCAAAACCGGCTGTTGCCGGTTTTGGACTGGTCTCAAGCGGGTTGCTTCAAGACGGCCTCGGCCCGCGTTTGGTTTCCTGAGCTCGGGCAGTTTTTGCGTGGTTGTCTGATTGGCAGAGTGCCTTTTCTTCGAGGCGAGTGCTGCCCCTCTTCGAGGCTTCGATTGTGGAGATCAACCGCGGGGTGCCTGTGGGGATAAGCAGCCCGACAAGAGCGAGAAATAGCAGCCTCAGTCCCGCGAAAATAGGTAACATTTTGTTCAGGTCCCAATTCAAGCGTACAGCCTGCCTCAGGCTTCAATTCTGTGTCACGAGGGCGAGGCAGTACTGCTATAATCGACGGAGACTGGACAATTGTAACAAGAGTGTGGAGTTCTATACTTCAACCAACATCAAATAGGGTAGTTCAATTTCTATCATGACAATTGTACTTCAATCAGCATCTTAAATGCGGTAGTTCATTGAATCATGTTCTATCATGAACACTCGATTTTTGTCATACGCTCCACTCGTTTCCTTGCGGGCGACGGAGCTTACGTAGCTCTGGGCTACGAGGCCGCGAGGGGGTGGTGGCACCCCCGCCGCCCGATGAGGGTCTGGGGCAGACGCTGGTCCGGTGGCCTAGGGGGAAGATGCTGTCGCAAGTCGCAAGGCACCGGAGGAGTTCGCCAGGGGTCATGATTTGTTTTTGATGGTTTCTGGGGGTTAAGTCCGAAAATGGGGCTGTTCCCCTTTATTTCCGCCACTTTCGTGGGGGTGACTTTGACCAGGGGAATATAATGGGGCCAGTTTACTGGTCACAAGTGAAGAGATGATCGACAGCATGCAAACTTCCTGTCCTTGGAGATGAACGCAAGTGAGAGGGACCCCTTTGGACCTCAGAATGCGAAGTTCGGAAGAGAAGATTCGGTCTCAGAGTGCGCAGAGGTCCGGTGCACTTTGCCAGAGAGCTTCGTCACCAACTTTTTAGGCTGGTCGGGCCTCGTAAGATGCAGCGTGAAACCCAGCCTCAGCCCCTGATTCCGCGTCCAATTCGGAAGGTCTGTGCCATGTTTTGCGCGAACATCATAGGATTCCATAGGCTCCACAGAGGAGCGGTCCACACCGCAAGCAAGTCCGACAGGTGCCTGGCCCAGTGTGTCAGACCTCTCGCTGGTACCACAGTGGCCGCTTCGGCAAATGTTACGTTCCACTTTCTTGGGACCCACGCTCAAGCAGAAGCTTTGGGGATGTTGGTCAAGCTTAATTTTGCGAGCGCTCACATGCATATTGCAACGGGCCATGAATTATTCGTTTCCTGTTCCTTTTCTTTTTCCTTTTCCTGTTTCCTTTTCCGTTTCTCTTCTCTTTGTCTCTCTCTCTCTTTATTCCTCCTTCGTCTTCTCGTCCTTCTCCTTTTCTAGCTTTTTCTATTTGGGACCTTGGGACAGTTTTTTTGAGAGAGAAACGTGTGCCAGATGAGCACTGTTTGTATCAGACACATCCTCGCAACATTAACAAAAAGGCAGCGGGCAGTCGAGTCTCTCTCTCTCTCTCTCTCTCTCTCTCTCTCTCTCTTTCTTTCTTTCTTTCTTTCTTTCTTTCTTTCTTTCTTTCTTTCTTTCTTTCTTTCTTTCTTTCTTTCTCTTTCTCTCTCGCCCGTCACGGGGTGCCCAGGTATGGGGCAGACCACGCCCTCGCCATCTACAGCTGGCCGGAGGTTCTGCGGCCCCCGCCAGACGGGACTGCCAGCCTGAGCAGCTTCTTGCGGCCGGTGAGGTCGCTGGCCCATGCCTCAGCCCGGATTTGGTTTCGGCGTCAGCCAGCCGCGGGGGTGGGGTGGGGTGGTGGGGGGGGTGGTGTGAGGTTTGCAGCTTTTTGCCGCTTGGCGCCAGGTTGGCCTGCACCCGGTGATCCAAGGAGGCGCCCGCGACCAGGAAATTTCAGTGTTTCCGTCGCGAGGGGCACTCCGAAACCTCCGCCCTTCGGGGGCGCAGGTGCGTCTCTTTCCACGCGGCCGGCGAGATGCCTGTACTCCTTTTGCCGGGCCCCGAGAGCTTTGGATGCTCGCTGCTCAGAGCTCCGGGTCACCTGGCCGAGGTCGCCTTAGCTCGCTGGCCGTGGTGAACGGCAGGCCTCACGCGGCCGAAGGGAGATGTTTACTAGGACGAAGTCAGACGGCTGTGGGTCAAAACAAATGGCGCCATTTTGGGGTAGGTGCACGTTCACTGGGGGTACGATTTGGATTTTGACCCATGGCCAGACAAGTTCCATGGCACGCTTCGCGCTCGGCCACGACCCTTGCTCGCAGGCCCCACCTCATTGTGGCCGGCTCTGAGTCGGGGTCGCTGCTGGCCTGCAGCCCAGGGGGAAAAAACGACGTCTCTCAATGGTGGCCTCCCAGGGTTGCAACTTCCCTCATCTTTGGTTCGTGCGTGTCCTTTCTTGGTTCGCCAGCCAGCGAAAGGGCCAAAACGCTGGCCGTCCGTCGTCCGAGCTGTCAGATCTGCCTGCAGTACAGGCCACGCGTCCGCCGCGAAGTGAGGTCTACGACCTGAGGGCCAGGCCCCGGAGCCCGGCGGAGCTGCAGGGGGACAGCGCAGGCGGCGCGGCCTCGCGGCCGTCCGTCGGTTCCGCGGGCCGACGGTTAGCGGAGGGAGCTCTTCCCAACCGAAGCGGGTGGCGGGGAACTTCCGGCACTTCGGTGCCGTGACGGGTGAAAAAAAGAACGGGGAAATCATATCAAGACAACCATCATGGTCAAGCTGAACGACTGTTTGATCGCTTTCTGCGGGGATGGTGTTTATAGACAAACTCAGTGGAGACATGTCTTCAGGTTGTTGGAGTGAGGTTGTTGTAGTTCCGCAATTGAAGACAACTGGAACGCACTAAGAATATGCTTCATGCAGCCTAATTTGTGACTCTTCCTTTGTCAATAGCTTCGTAAATAATAGACTTCTTCGACCTCCCGTTCCTTCCCTTGAAACCAAGCCATTCGCCCTGCCTTTGGTCGTCGCAGACTGTTTGTGCCAGGTCTTCCTCCAAACCCGGATCCAGATATTGGGCACTTTCAGGCAGCGCTTTGTGCTTTGCGCAATTTGGCCGTGGCGGCTGGCTTCGAATGTACGACATTGCTTCGGGTGAAGCGGGGTCCCCCCGAAAACCACTGCGCCTTTTCAGGGCTCTTGCCAGGATTCTCTGGCGAGAATCGGGATGTGCTCACACGTAGAGATATGCTATGCAGACTTAGTGGGCATACAGGTAATCAACACTCAAAGTCCCAAGTTGTTTTGCTTGTGGACAAGCAGCCAGCTCCCAAGTTCCCAGCAAAAGCAACGGGATCTCCGCCTTTGCCAGGGGCCCATTTGGCTGTCCACGGCCTTCTCCAGTGACATCTTCGTGCGCCGGGGGGAATTGGTTTTGGGAACGATCGGCAATCGGATGAATCAGAGCGAGGTTCCGGTTGGCCGGCTGGGTTTTTCTTGGTGTTGTGTGGGTTTACGGTGATCCATGCGAGAAATCCAAGAAAAAAAATGGGGGATTTCATGAGACGTTTGGTGCTTCCCGCACAGCAAGAACAGCCTTGAGGAAGCAGGCACTAGGCATCGCGAGCAGGGCACAGTCGGCAGACAAACACATTTTGAGCATACATGAAAGAGTTTCCCTTGCTTCCCCAAACGTGTGAAGACCATTGGTAACTTGTCTCTCACAATCCATTGACCCAAGCGAGAGAACTGGATGAGTAGATGGATGGCACTTGACAATCCTGGAGTTTGGGAGCCATCCTGGAGCCATCCTGCTATTCCTTTGACCCACTTACCTCTTCTCTCTAGCTTGTGAACTGAGCTGCCTGTCACCCTGTCGGCCCTCGCGGGCTCGGCGCGGGCTCGGAGTTTCCAGTTTCCCGTGCCAGGCCGTTGGTGCCAAGGGCGGGCTCGGCTCCCAGATCGGCTGGGGCGAGCGATGGACTCCCGCCGATCTTGCGGGAGACGTGTGAGAAAGCCCTGCCAGTCCTTGCAAACGAAAGTGACTCTCTTGAGGATTTTGGGGAAGCAGTTGAAGCAGTGGTCCTTTTGACACGTTGGGATTGGCGCATGCCAGCGGAAGGCAACTGGAGGAAGATGACCTCCTGCCTGGCGCCCTAGTGCTGGAGGTTTGGACGGCCCAAGGCATGCGAGGGAGATGAGTTCTTTCTCGGAAACGCGAAGCTGGGGGGATGAGTTGTGCAGAGTGCTCCCCGAACTTGGCCAAAACTTGTGAGGACCTTGTGTCATGTGAGTTCTGTGAGGTCTGGCGCCGTTGGCTTTGGCACCGGGGACTCGGAGGGCCACCAGGCTGAGGCCAGGCCAAGAAAGGCTCAGGGCGGTGGATAGAAACGCTTGAGAGAAACGCTTCACGAAGAATCTGTGGTGCCTCCGTGCCTTGGCAGAAAACGCCAAGAATATATGTAGAACCAACACTTCGAACGGGCATGAAGCTTTGCAGTGCCTTGGCCAGATCTGCTGCGTGCGATGCTCGGACATGGCGGCGGGCGACGCGCTGGTCTTTGCGGGGGCGCCCAGAGGGCCGAAGGTGATGGGTGACTCGTGGAAAGTTTCTCCGGCGATTGAAGTTGCTTTGCCGAGCGGCTTTGTCGCTCCAAAGCGACATGCGCGGCTTTCTCAAGCCCGAAGGCAAGCGGCTCAAGCTGTAGGCTCTTGAAATCGCAGGCACGCGCGGAACGCAAGACGCTTTCAGGCTGCATCCTTCGTGAAAGCGATATTGTGGCCTTGTCCCAACCATGGCGCCCAGTGATGCAGCGGGCCTTGTGCCCAGGCGGGGGTTTTGAACTTGTTTAGACTTGCCCTGATGCGGATCTTCAATTTTTTTCAATCAATGAACGAGTCTACATGTTGCTCGCTGGCACTTTCGACTCGCCCCCCCCTCTTGCGTCTTTTGCAGGCGCCGAGTTGGACGTCCGGGAGGCCCACGCCCGCGCGCTGCGCCTCCGCCGCGGGCGCTGGCGGGACGCCGCGCAGCTCCTGGCTGAGGTGGGCTGCCGCCGGGGCACCTCGGTGACGCTGAACCTCCTCGCGAGTCTGCGGCCGAGCCCTCAACACAACTTCTGGAGGTCTGAGGGCATCGTCCGTGTCGCCTTGGCAAGGCCGCAACGCTGGCGCCTGTTGCTGGAGGTGCCCAGGAGGTGGCAGCTGCAACCTGATGCCGTGACCTATACGACGCTGCTGGGAGGCGATTTCGCGTGTAGCGTGGGTGGTGACGGTAAGGCCTCAAGCGCAGCGGCGGACCGAGCTTGAGCCTTGCAGGCATGGGCTGGCTGGAGGCCCTGCGGCTCTTCCGGGTGGCGCAGCGCCAGGGCGCTACGGACGCGGTCAGCTTTCTCAGCGCCCAGGCGCCGTCGAGGCCACAGCTTTTCAGTTGAGCTCCGGAGCAATCAGGTGGCCTGCCGCGGTCGGTGGCGGCTGGTGGAGGAGATGTTGCAGGAGGTCCAGGACCAGAATGACCAAACCACTGCCGATGCAGCGTGTGGCGAGTCTCAGCGCAGGACGTCTCCTTGCAGGCAGACGCCCCTCATTGCAGCGCCACACTTGCAGCCCACGGCCTCTCCGGCTGGCAACGCGCTGCTGCCAGCGCCTCAGGTGCGAACAAAACTTACCAACGCCTCGTTTGACGTTGCCTTGATCTGCCCAGTGTGGAGGCCCAGTACTTGGCTTTTCGGGCGCGCGGCCTCACAAATGCTGCAGCGCGGAACCTCCTGCATTGGCGAGCGGCACTGCAGGACCATCCCGCATGCGCTTTGAGCCAAGCCGGAGTGAACAGTGTGGTGTGGCGAACGGTTGCCTTGGCGTGTTCTTTCGGGGTGTCAGCTTGTTCCTGGTCCAGGAAATCTGCACCCCTACGCAGAAATCCAAACCGCCAATCCAAAAGGCCACATAAGGTCTTGTTGACTGGAGGACGAGAGCCGTTCCTTTGCATGTGGCTGTGGGTCAAAACCAATGGAACCATTTTGGGGGTCCCGGTGCATGACCCATTTTAGAAAGCATTTTAGTGGTTGGATTGGTGGATGTTCCCTGGGGGACCGATTTGGATTTTTGAGCCACCGCCTGCGAGGAGTCCGGCGGCGCTTTAGACCGCCGCGGCCTCCACGGGCTCCTGGCGCAGCAGCAGGCGGGCCGCTGGGCCGCGGCGGAGGCGCTGCTGGAGGCGCTGCGCCGCGCCACGCAGCCGGACGTGGTCTCCTTCACTTGGCCAGCCGCCCGGCGCCCAGACGCCCCAGACGCGCGAGCGGCTCGTTTGCTGGTGGAGATGGAGAGGAACAAAGGGCCATGCGACTCAGAAATCCATGTGGCTTGTTGTTGGAGATTTGAAAGGAAAGGTGAGTGCTCAAATGCGGGGTATAACGTGGAAAAGACTCTTTTTGGAGCATATTTGGTTCTCCCAACTGCGGAATCTATGTAAGCGGTTTGTCTTTTTTGGGTGGCCTCTTCGGATTTGGGTTGCACAAACCCCGGCCCCGAGGAGTGGCCGCGGGCGCGGCTGCTGCTGCGAAGCCTCCGGGCCGCGGCGCTGCGGGCGGACCTCGTCTTCGGCAACGCCCAGCTCGCCGCCGCCGGCGACTGGCGCGAGGCCCTGCGGCAGCTGCGGTGCCTTCAGGCGCCGCGAGCAACGAGTGGGAAACGAGTGGGAAACGAGTCGGGTTCGGGAGGGCTCGGTGAATGGGAAGGCTCCTTGAGGTCTGAGCCTAGGGACTGCGTTTGTTCTTGTGCAACCGTTTAATATTTTTACTGTATTCCTTGGAAGTCTGCGTTTGAGTGCATCTTGTCTAGTTGGCATGCCATTGGGATTTTCTGCTTGGATCGTCTTTCCTGTCATGTAGATCCTGTTCGGATTCTCTGTGTGCGACTCTCCCTAGATCCTGATTGGATTCACACAAGTTCTGCGTCCGCTTCCCTGAAAGTTATTTAGATCGATCTGGTTTGCATCGCTGCTCCCTGAAGATTCCTGTTGCGGTCTGCTTGGTCCTTTTTTTCCCTCGGACTCGCATCTCATCCCTGAAAACCATTTGGATCCTGTTTGGGCGCTCTCGTTTGCATCGCTGTTTCTGTTCCTTCCGCTTTTTACATTTTTCCCTCGGGTTGCCCGGAGTTGGCCGTTCCGGCCGTTGGGAGGTGCAGCAGCTGCGGCCGGATCAGCTGAGCTACAGCGCCCTCTGCGTGCGCCAGCCTTGGCGGCAGGCGCTCCAAACCCCTCGGGGCGCCGCAGAGCCTTGGGCGCTGAGTCGGTCATCGCGTATCACGTGGAGGCACCAGGGGGTTTCTCATTTGGGTGTGGCTCAAAATTAAACACGGGGGTTATGCAGGTTTTGGTCCATATGTCCACTTGCCAGGGTTCCATTTTGGAATTCCGGTTTTTTGAGCCAGAGCCATTTGGCCATGGGTTGCAGTGGCCCTATGGCGATTTTTCATGTTGGGGGTGAACATCCAGCAATGCCGCCTATTTTGAGGTTCACCAGCAGGGTTTTGACCCACAGCCCTTGTCAATTGGACTTTGGCTCTAGCCAGCGCTTGTTGAGCGTTCGTTGTCACTTGGCTGCCGTTTGATGAGACATTGACGGATGGCCAATTGGGTGACACTCACATGCCTGCCGGTAGGAATCCACGCTTCGAGTTTCAGCACAAACCGACCCTCTCAAAGCCTCGAGTGCCACCTAAGGGCAAGCTCAGTGGGCTAAGGATGTCGTGACCTTCAATGCGCAGATCATCGCTGCTGAGAGGTCTTGGCAGCAGGCCCCAGCTTTTCGGAGCGAAGTCCCCAAGCCTCCCTTCGGTCCCTTCGGGTGTGGTTGGAGCGCGGCGGCACTTGGATCAAACCGTGTGATGGCAACACATTCTGCAAGTCGGGCTATCCTCCCGTCGCTCTCCTTGTGAAGCGATCCAATTGCAGCCGGAATCCGGCTCCGCGCCAGGCGCTCTGCATTTTCGGCATCCTGCTCTCCAGAGGCGAGGGCAAAGCCAAGAGAAGCCGCCCTTATGAGGACCCGAAGCCACTCGCAACTCGCTCTTGAGTGGTTTGGGATCGCAACTCGCGACTCGCGACTCGCAGCTCGCGACTCGTTCGCTTCGCTCGAGGCCTTCGGGGCAGCATCGCGAGCGTGGCGAGTTGCGTCACGGGCTGCGAGAAGGCGGGGCGCTGGGCCCGGGCGCTGCGGCTGCTGCGGGCGGCGCTGCGCCGAGCGCTGCGGGCGCAGGACGACGCCATTTCCGAGAGGGGCCGAGAGGTGGATAGACCTGGGATTTGGCACTTGGTTTGTGACAGAAGGAAGCAGCAAAACATGACAGGCATAGTCAGGCGTGCACTGCAGGACATGACCTTCAATGCTGCCATTGGAGCCTGTGCAAAAGGCCAAAGTCGTCGTGCGTTGCAGGTTGCCAGACTGGCTGAGGGGGAAAAGTGGCGCGATTGGAAAGCGCAAGCTGCAAACGACAATCCTGATTCAGCCTGCAGCGGTTGAATCCAAGGTCAGGCAGGGACTGACTACCGCTCCACAAACCAAGCAGAATTCTTCTTGTTTGAAAGCACGTGCTGGTTGGTTGATTTGGAGGGGGGTCGCAGTTTCATTGATCATCGGAAGAGAATGCCACAGTTTGAGGCTATGGATATCAGTGGCGTCGTTAGCTTCTGGCGTGTGCTTGAGCTGGCAGAGGTGGGCCCGGGTGCTCAGCTCTTTGACTCTTTGACTCTTTGAATCTTTGACTGGCCGCGTGGCGTTTACATCCCCTTTTTCGCATTGTGCCGGTTCGTCGTTTGACACGTCGCGTGGCGTTTACATTCCTTTCTCTCATTTGCAGTGTCTCGAAGTCGGTTGGGTGCCGCTCCGGCGGTTCGGCGGTTCGGCGGTTGAGGCGTGAAGCTGGCGCTGCAGGGCAGCCTCTGCTTGTCTCAGGGCCGGCGGCCCAATGTCGCCGCGCGCGCGCGGCGCGCGCGGGGAAGTGGTGCAGGCCCCCGTGTGCTGGCCGACTTCATGAGCGCCACCTACCTCTGCATCCATCCTCAGCAGCAGGTCAGACGGTCACGCAGCCGCTTCAAAGCAAACTGCAAAGTGCTTTGCAGATTTCAGTGTTTTTCCATGGTTTTTGTCGGATTTCATGACTGCCAGGGCCAGTTCGTAGCCCTGTCCGCATCGGGCATCTGCCAAGCGCAGCGCCTGGTGCTCGGCTTTGTGCGAAAGAACGGCAGGAACGCGGGACGGGAGTTCTGTGACACGCGATGCATCTGATCGAGTCAACTGTACGCTTCGCTTCTCTAAGTATGGAAGGTGGATGTTGAGCGATGGAAGGAAGGGTCATGGGCGACTGTGGTCTGTGATGAAGCCAAACCGTCAGATGCCTATTGGCCCCGAGCTCTACAAGTGAGTTTGATGCTTTTATCGTTTTAAATGTACTCTGGTGCTGGGCTTGGCGGGGACTGTCATGAACCGTGGACCCCTTACTATTGATGATGAGTCATATTTGCACATTCAGATAATATGTACATATCATCATATGGCATCGCATTGCATGGCAGAGCATCACACCTACTTGCATAGTATAACAGAGCGGCACACCACATGATGTTGCGCTGCATTAGCTTGCATTCCCTTACCTTGTCTTACCTTACATTGTATTTCATTACATCGCATTAGTTTCCATTTCGATACAGACAATATATTTATATATATATATATACATATATATATATATATATGGTACAGCGTTGCCAGCCCCCCCCCCCCCCACCAATGGTCATGGGTCAGACAAGTACCCCCCCCCCCCCCTTGTGGTTGTGGTCCTGTGGTTGGGTTGTGGTGGTTTGGGGTTGGTTTAGAATTGGTTTAGGGTTAGGGTATATTTAGGGTGTATTTAGGGTTAGTTTAGGCTTGGTTTAGGGTTGGTTTATGTTGATTTAGGGTTGGTTTAGGGTTGGTTTAGGGTTGGTTTAGGTTTAGAGGTGTACGGTTTAGGGTTTGGTTTAGGGTGTATTTAGGGTTGGTTTAGGGTTAGTTTAGGGTTGGTTTAGGGTTGGCTTAGGTTTAGGGTTTATTGTTTAGGGATTGGTTTAGGGCGCATTTGGGGTTAGTTTAGGGTTGGTTTAGGGATAGTTTAGGGTTGGTTTATGTTGATTTAGGGTTGGTTTAGGTTTAGAGGTCTACGGTTTAGGGTTTGGTTTAGGGTGTATTTAGGGTTCGTTTAGGGTTAGTTTAGGGTTGGTTTATGGTTGGTTGCGGGTTGGCTTGTCCTGGGGGTGGGGGTGCCGGGGTGTCGGGGTGCGAGTTCAGGGGGTCGGGTTGGGGGTGGGACCGTAGGTGACAGGATCCGGGGGCTCGGGGTCTCGGGCCGGGGGGGGGTCCTGGGGGACCCATACCATATGGGGGGGGGGGGGGGTAGCAACACGGAACACGTGACCATATATAAGCCTTAGGCTGTTTTGACGTGAGCTCATGAGATTCCGCCTCGTTTAACTCTCAAGTGACAAGCTGGGTAGAACTTCCATTTGATGGTGCCTTGGGGCGAGCTGGCGAGAAGCATAGCTCTAGATTTGTCCAAGCTGTTGGTTTCCTGGGTGGTTGAGATCAATCGTCAACGACCAATTCACTCTGGGGCTGATATCACCTGGGCCTGCGCAAAGCAGCGCAGCTGGCTTGAGCGCGAGCTGGACGAGTGCAAGGGCCTGGCTGGCCGCGCGGTCATCTGCGAGCAAGCAGCAGGCAAGGCCGCTGCAGCTGACCGATGCTTGGTGGCTCTGGCCTTTTTGGTGGGAACCGTTTTTGGTGGCATAGTGGTGGCTTTGCTTTGCAACCTGTTCAAGGGCTCCGCTGTGGTTAGAGGGGAACCCGTTAGCTTGGCTTTGAACGAGATAGAGAAGAAGGCCCCAGCAACTCAGAGGGATGAGCTTGGCCGACAAGAACTGGCTGCTGCGCGATTGCGCGCTCGTCAGATTTCACGAAGATCCAGATCTCTTGCACTGGCGTGGGATTCTAGCATGTCGTCAGGGGGATCAGTGCACAGTAGTGACTCCTGATCGAGATGTTGAAGATACAGAGCTGGTGGTTGGTCCAATATTCTCTGAGGTGCGCGCCACGGATGAGAGGAGGCTTCCTTGGCGTCATAGAGGATCAAACTTATCTCCCCCGTCATGCCGAAAAGGGTGAGTTCAGCCGAGATGAACGGAAGAGGCTCATCACCATTCAGGAGCGGAAGGCTGAGGCCTACGAGGGTCGAAGACGTGTCGCTGGAAAGGTGGATCCAAGAGGCCGCGTCATGGGCGTGGTTGCCGCTGCAGCTGGCGGGCGTCTTCAAAAAGAGCTTGGTGAGGATTTGGCTTCCAGCAATGATGTTTGGCTGGTGCTGTATCGGTCAGGCTCTGGAGATTTGGGTGTTGAGATGGACCCACCTCGAGATTCATCAGACCTCATCGTGAATGGCAAGACTTTTCGGTTTTTCCCTCAGGGAGGTGAAGAGTTTCTTGTGAGAAAGGTGGGTGTGGAGCAGTTGCCCGACGTCAAGAAGTTGCTTCGAGAAGCAGCTAAGCCAGCAGAGGAGCAAGAAAGAGATATCCGCATCTTGCCCGCTGTCTTCGATGCAGCTGATGAGCGTTATCGAACAGTTCAGGAGGCCATCCCAGAATGCGATGAAGTCGATTTCGATGACTACCCGCTGCAAGGTCCTCGAACCATGTTCCGCGACCTGAAGCAGTTGCGGCGTGTCGGCCAGGACTTTATGTTGCACCATGAATCTTGGGTGCGCAAGTCCGGGGTGAGGTCTTCAGATCGCTCCGTCTACGAGCATCACTCCCTTTGCCGAGCACTTCACTTGATGATGGCATATGATCAACTCAACGTGCCAAACCTCGCTTCAGCCGAGTCGCTCAACCGGAGGCGTGCTCTCATCGAGCACGCGCATGCTGGCAGGCCGGACACTCCGAGCTACGAGGGAGCGGAGGAGTTCATGGGCGCGAAGGACATGGCAGACGGATCCATGGTGGATCCTGCTTTGTTGCAGCACACGGCAAAACGCCAGGCTGCCAAGGCTGAGATCATGAAGCAGAGTCGACTTGCGGCTGAAGAAAAGAAAGCAGCTGCTCGCAAGGGAGATGGCAAAAGTGGTGAAAGAGGAGCCAAGGCGGCTCCCAGTCACCCCTAGCCCTTCCGGTCAGGGGGAGGCTCATGGCGCCGGGCTTCCACCTGAGACTTTTTTGCGCCAAGCAGTTTTCCAAAGTTCCTCTTCGGCAACATGGCGATATTTTCCCTTTGCCGGTGCCGATGGATGGTGGGCATCAGGGGCCTCTGCACGACTTGTCATCGAGGAGGTCAGGGCAGAGAGTGCAGAAGAGGCGTCTTTTGCTTCCACGTGAGGCAGAGACCGATGAGGAGCAGTGGCCTTGGTTGCCCGTCAATCTCGCACAGGAAGCAGTTTTGAGAAGAGTTCACAAGGCGCACACCTTGCGACCTGCGCCTGTGGAACACCAAAGTGGTCAGGCAGCGCTACGGCAGCTGCTGAAGAACAAGGCACCGCACGGCTACTCGTCAGAGCCTATGGGTGCCGGATGTTTGGCGTCCTATGTTCCTGAGAAGCTGTCACTACCTAGAGATCAGGGGCAACCAGTTCATCTTCGAGAGATTCTCCCACAACGCGAGCGGTGGCAGTTGGAAAATTTCAAGACCGAGATGTTGCTGTCGCCAGAAGAGATTGCGGGGGAGCAAGAGGGAGGCTTTCACCACGATCGAAACTTGGATCCCCAACTTTTACATAGTGCAGATAAGTACCATCGTTTCATAGCAGATTTGGAACGCAGCAAACTGTTGGATTACACTTGCACACCTCGTGTTCAACTTGGGGCTTTCATGGCTAGCAAGAAGAACGGTAAGCAGCGTCTGTCATTGACGCCCGTCGAGCCAATCGTTTGTTTCGCACGCCGCCAACAACAATTTTAGGTTCTGTGGAAGCTTGGTCCCGACTAGAAGTACAAGATCAACAAGATATTTTCATGGCCCAGGAGGACGTGAAAGACTTCTTTTGCCGGTTATCCATCGACCGAGAGCTGGGAGAATATTTTTGTCTACCTCCTGTCGATCCCCACAGGTTGAAGGGCATCCTTGGTTACCTACCACCCTCACTTCAAGCTTTACAAGATCAGTTGGTTGGTCCCTTTTATCCGATGATGGCTGTACTGCCAATGGGGTTCAACTGGGCATTTCATTTAGCGCACCAAGCTCACGTTGAGCTCGCTCGGAGGAGCCTTCCAGAAGCTGGACGTCTGAGAGACAGACATCCAGCGCCACGGATTGGGAGGGGCCTTGGTTCCGTGGATCAGGCCATGCTGATTTATGCGGACAACAACACTCATTTGGGGCATGACCGAGACCAAGTAGCTGAAGCTGAAGCAGTGATGATGAAATGCTTACACACGCATGGTCTGGATACGCATGATGTTCAAGAGAGTGCTACACTAGCTGAATCACTGGGAGTTCGTATCGACGGGCTCGGGAGTTCAGTGGGACCTACTCCGACGAGGGACTGGAGACTGGATAGGGCTCTTTGGGCGTTGACAACCAGACCTACAATAAGTGGAGAACAACTTCAAGTCGTAGTTGGTCATCTTACTGTTCGGGCACTTCTACATCGGTCATTAACGGGGATACTCCGGCATGCCTATGCGTTCATTGAGGAGTGCTACACCAATAGAACTCGTTTGTGGAGAAGCGTGGCGAAAGAGTTGCAACTTTTCAGACATTTGATGCCGCTGGCCACTGGGAACATCAAAGCTCCCTGGGACCCGCTGCTCATGTGCACCGGCCATGCCGTGCTGGAAAGCTTCACCGGAGTTCAGGCCTGCTGTGTCATTGGGAGATGGGACGAACGGTGGCGCTTCAGACGAGAGGACGGAGCACGGGTGGCGCCCAGGGAAGTTGCGTTGGATGCCAACCTGGCTTTGGAAGATGTTGCAACTGTTTTGCCGTCGGTTGATGGAGAAGTTCTTGGGGTGATTGAGGTTGACAGGAACTTTCCTGAAGTACCCTCTAGCATCTTGGAACATTCTCGCTGGCACTTACTTTGGTGCTCACCTATCCATTATCGAGAACCCATTCATATCATCGGAGCACGAAGCATACTTGGTGCACTTCGACATGCTTGCAAAGATTCTAGGAGGCATGGACATAGGCTCACGGTTTGAACGACAACATGGGGGTGGTGCTTGCCACTCAGAAGGGCAGATGTGGCTGACAAAGACAGCCGTCGCTGGGAAGAAAAGAGTGCTCCCCAGCCTGGCCAGTCCAAGGCAGCCATGCAAGAGGAGGATAGCCGTCTTCACCAAGAGCGAAGCAACGAAAGCCAACGAGCGCCTCCAGAGTCCAGCGAAAGAAGATCGGCCAAGTCATTGCAGCAGCCTCTCCCACTCGCCTCGGAGGACGCCAGCCACAAAAAGGCCTGTGGAAAAAGGCCTTCAGTTGATGATTCAGTCGTCAAAGAAGAGGATGGAACGAGCAAGAGCGAGGCAGAGGAAATATGGCAAGAAGCTACGGGCCAGCAGAGGAGAACAAAGTCTGTTGGAGATGAACAGCATCAAGGAGCCAGCTCGGAAGGATTACTGCAGGAGGCTCGACGAGTTCTACGACTTCGTTGCAAACAGCGGCCTGCAGATAGACAAGGAAGAAAACCTGGACATTGCTCTTTGCGAATACGCAGATCACATGTTTCTGAATGGCGAGAGCAACAGCTCGGGGCAAAAGTTGAAAGCCGCCCTTGAGTTTTTCCGACCAGAGGCAGCCAGGGCAGGAGAGCTGCGGCTGCCAAGGTTCAGAAGAGCGCTGAAAGGCTGGAGGCGCCTTGCGCCGACACAGACAAGGTTGCCAATGGTGGAGTTCATCAAAAGCGCCATCAGCGGCGTCATGATGAGCCAAGGATGGCATGAGATGGCTCTTTTCAACGAGGTCACCTTCTCGACTTATGCAAGGCCAGGAGAGATGCTTCGGGTCATGGCAGTGGATGTGGTGGCTCGCACTGCACAGTTTGGTCACCACATCATAGTTCTGAGCCCTTTCGAGAGGGGTATCAGCAGCAAGACGGGTCTTCCACGAGGTGTTGGTGATGGACAATGTCCGCGTGGTGGACCTTGGCAGTTTGGTGGTGGAATGGTCGCAGAAGCGAGTGAAGCAAGATGGCGGGGAAGCGGTTTTGTGGAGCTTCAAGGCCGAGGAGTTTCTGAAGTGTGGCGGGCGTGCGTGCAGATGCTGCAAGTCCAGGACTTCGCCGTATCACCATATCAGAACCGTCACGGAGGAGCATCCCGCGACCACCTGCTGAAGCTACGAACCATCTCTGCCATACAGAGACGTGGCCGATGGTCCACCGACACGAGCGCTCGAATCTACGACAAGCCAGGACGCCTGCAGCAGATGCTGAGCACCATGAGCAAGGATCTGCTTCCCTTTGGCGAGATGATTCGAACCGGGTTTGCCAGATACTTCCGAGGTGCTACCGTCACTCTGCCCAGCACTTTAAGGAGGAGGGTGAAATCCCATTTCAAGGCTTAAAATTCCTATCACTGTTTGGTGGCGCTGGAAACCCTGCCAAGTTCTGGAGTCAGTATGGAGGGGATGCTGTTGTTGTAGACCACAGTGATTCGCCCAACAATGATCTTAGCAAACATGCCTCGTGGAACATTGTTGACAAGAACCTCGAGTCTTTTGACGTTGTGGGCATTGACCTCCCCTGCAACACTTTTAGCCGAGCACGTCGAGCACCCTGGTGGTCAAAGATGCCAAAGCCTCTTCGAGCAAAAACGGAGCTTTCATCATGGGACTGCCTGGGCTCTCGCCGTCTGATTCTGCAAAGGTGAAGCAGGCCAATGTCAGAGCTGTTAGTCTGATTCGCAGATGTTTGAGGAGAAATATCAAGGGCTACCTAGAGAATCCTGCAAACTCCATGCTCTGGCAGACACCTGCCATCAAGCCATTGATGAAAAGATGGAAGAGTACATGTTTGTATCCTTGACATGTGTATGTATGGAACTGCCTGGAAGAAGCCGACAAGACTGCTTTTGTGGAATGTACAGCCGCCAGTTTTTTCACGCTGCATTTCCAGTCAGGGCAAACGCCAACGCACTAGCAAACCACATGTGCAACTGTCAGGGATCAGTGGCAAGAGATTTGCTACGGAGCAAGCACAAGTTTACTCTCCCCAATTTTCGAAAGCCTTGATGCTGACTTTTTTGGAGTTACACCCAGCCCACCCGTGAGCCATACTGTTGATGGGTTTGGGATGTGGTACTTTAAGCCTGGCATGTTCCAACGTGTGCCAGCTGAAGTGTACCAATGAAGTGACGCATGCGAAGGACATGCGTCAGCCGAGTTTCCTTCTACACAGATGGATGCGAGACTTCGCACACTGCTCTGGAAAATGAGCGTCGAGTCATATAAGCCTTAGGCTGTTTTGACGTGAGCTCATGAGATTCCGCCTCGTTTAACTCTCAAGTGACAAGCTGGGCCCCCCACGCCCAACCCGGGATGTGGTACTTTAAGCCTGGCATGTTCCAACGTGTGCCAGCTGAAGTGTACCAATGAAGTTTCACATGCGAAGGACATGCGTCAGCCGAGTTTCCTTTTACACAGATGGATGCGAGACTTCGCACACTGCTCTGGAAAATGAGCGTCGAGTCATATATATATACACATACATATATACATATATATATATATACATATATATATATATATATGCATACATATATATATATACATATATATATATATGTGACACACACACGCACAGGCTGCTTCGAACGCCGCCAAGGTCAGGGGGCCATCAAGGGCCCAAAGAAGCTCGACCTGAGGCAGCCCGAGGACCGGGGCCTGCTGTAAGGGTTGACTTAGAAAACGTGCCCAGCACGCTCTCGCAGGAGGTGGAGATGGGCGCGGCTGAGCCATGCTGCCGGGCTCTCAACAAAACCATGGCTTTGGATTGCGGCCTTAAATATCTCTGACCATGTCTGGGCCACTTGCTCTTTTGAGTGGTTGCAGTCCATTTGCCATGAACTTTCTGGGCGTATCACCTTCTCCAAGAGTTCAGCCGCCGTTGCGCCCAGGTGCTGCCTTCAATCCCTTTTTCCCGGGGCTGCTCCTAGTGGCGTACGCCGAAGGCGACGCACTCAGCTCCCAGCTGGACGGAAGTCCGAAAATGGCAGCAGGCGACCTCGCCCTCTTCGACTGCTCCTTGTGCGTGCCGGTGACGCACTGGGCCTCCGCGGGCAAGGCGGGCCTTTGGCTTTCCAGTTTCCAGAAGGCTCGGCCTCGAGATTCCCCATCGGCTGCGCATGCGGTCGACCTCTGACAATTTGCGACGTTTTCACATTAATCCGCACTGCACTATTCGCAGGGAAGGTTTTCAGGTCTCTCGCGCCGAGTTTCGAACGACCAAACCGCAAGCTGCCGAACGGAATCGAAGCGAACGGTTCGAAGGTCCCCGGCCTCAGCTCAGTGGCCTGGTCCACACGGAGGAGCGAGCTGGCGATCGATGGTTGTCGCCCTCACGAAAAGGTTTGGTCGTGCGCTGTGAATAGTTGGAGAAATCTATATGGCTGTGGTTGTCAAAGCCGTTTTGGGATCCCATTTTGCGGTAGGTGAATTCACCACCCATTTTAGAACCTATCTTAGTGGGGATTGGGATGTTCACTGGAGGTATGGGATTTTGACCCATGGCCATATGGCTGCGAGCCCTTCAACACTCTTTTTTTTTGACCCACACAAATATGCAAAAATGGAACCTTGTAAAACCTGAAGCATGTCGCGTCCTGAGGCCCTGCGTCTTCTTCGTGAAGTGCGGGGACGCGCTGGATGTCGGGCGCTCGGACCTGGCGGCTCCCCAGCACCTGGTCGGGGCTGAGGTTTGGGACCTCTCGGAGAAGACCCACATGCCGGTGCATAGCATCACCCTTGAAGGCGGGGCCTTTTCCCTGGAAAAAGTCAGGAATTATGTAGTTCCCCTGGTGGGGTCATGTTCTATGATGTTCTATGACCCTACCAAGTGCAATGGGTACCCTTGCGAGCTGGTAGGCGAGCCGCCGCGGCCGCCCAGCGCGGCAGCCCCCGTGTGCTGCGAGCTCTACGTGGGCCCGGCTGCCCAGCGCGAAGGGACACGAGCCAAGTCGATCGGCTGCGCAGAGCAGGTTCCCATGTTCGCGGAACCCACACCAAAGTAAGGTGCGGTTTCCACATGACGCTAGGGAACCTCGGAAGCACTCAAAAGGTTCGAACGTGCGGTTTCCACATTACGCCAGGGAACCTCGGAACCTTGTGAGAGTTGCGCCAAGCAACTGGTTCTCCCAGGCGCCGATGGCCGGCCTGTGGTGGCGCTAGGCAGCGGGCGCACTCAGCTTGCTGAAAGGGCGGACGTGGGTATAGGTCAAAATTAAACGTTTTGGGTACCTTTTTTTGACCCACACCCACATGGACAAAATGTCCGAGCGGCCAAGTGGGCACATCGAATGAATGGCGGCCTATGTTTGTGGGTTCAATCACTCATGGGTGCTTGGTAGAAGCATGTAGAAGCATTCTGGTTGCTAGTGGCGGTTACTAGTGGGGGAGGGGGGGGGGTTAAATTCAGTGACATTCGGAGGCCGAGGTGTCAGGCAGAGCCATAGACCCGATGTCCAGTTCCTTCGAGTGAGTCGAGGCTCGCTGCTGGTCTTGGGCCTCCCAGCGCAGCTCACCACGCCTCTGCAGCGCTTGCCAGAGCGGTGCGCTCGGCGGGCAGATGCGATGGATTTTTTGTTTTGTGAAAAAAGCCTAGCAATAACTGGAGCAGTGATATCCAGGCCGGGCTTGAGCTGTTTGCTATTAGTTCTTCTTATGTTTGAAATAGTAACGAACACTTCCATGCCACTGGAGATTTCACCCCTTGCTCGAAGAGGTATTCCACGGGTGACCAGCCCATCGACGAGCTCTTGCTGCCCGGCCACGAGAAGGAGCAGGCATGTCTTTGCACAGCAATTCGTGATCACTCGTGTCGCATTGGTTGCTTTGTGGTCCGGAGGTGTTCCCAACGCTGGCCCGGCACGTGCGAGACGTCGGCGGCCAAGACGAGGAAAGCTATCCCTTGCGGAAAATGAAGCTTGCAGCTTGACGCGGTGCAACTCTGCTTTTCTCGGCATGTCTAAGCCTGGCCTTCTTCAAGAAGGGGCTTCTTGGTGGGGCGCGCGCCGAAACAAAGAGACAGATCCAAAATTTCGGGGGCCCAATCTTGCTGAGGTGGACGTGGCGCCGCTCTGCACACTGGAGCGCGATGTGCTCAGGCCAGAGCATGACTCTTTTACCGCTGGTCGCGAGTGCTGAATGTTCGATGGGCAGCCAGCCTTTTCAGTTTTCATGCTTGAGACTTGCGTGCAGGTGCCTGCAAGCTTGATTTCCGCTTTTGCCAGCGCTCACGTAGGCGCATTGTGGCGGGCATCAATCCCATGCAGGCGATGGGGCTCATGGTTGCGTTCTGAGCCCCCAGGCTCCCGTGTGCTCCCATGGTCTCTGAAGTTTGCACAGCCGCACAAAGCGCCGAGTTTGCTGTGTTCTGTGGGCCACCCTACCTTGGGAATTTCCTAAACAATGCAAACATTCACGTGTTCCTTTCGTTTCCCTTCAAACATCACACAGTTTGCCCCGTTGAACGGCCACCCATATCTGCGCCAGGCCTGGGTGTGAGACGTCACTTGACGTCGCTTGACGTCAGTTGGCATGTTCATTGCTTCCCTTTGGCACTTTGGTTTTCGGATGCTTTTTTTAGCCCAATCGGCTGCCTGTGCGGACAGCTCTTGCCTGTATAGTGGACCGCACGTCGCTGACCAGCGGCAGTCGGAAAATGAGACATTTCGTGGCATGAAGACCATGCGTAGTTCGCCGGCGTCGCACTTGGCGCCTCGTTTCACTCCGGGCTCCTCTCTGAGGATCTCGTGCCCGAATTCAATTGAAGCCACTGCTGACGCGGCCAGGGATCGCTAGGTTTGCACGGAACTGCGCAGTGGAAGACGCATGCCACAGGTGTTCGGCCTCTCTTTTTTTTACCAGGTGGCTCCCTCGTTTGGTGAGTTTGTGGGACGTGACAGACTTGTGGAACCTTCTCTTGAAGCTGCCCTGAAGCATCCGAAATGGCGTCTTGTGAAGACTCAGCTGCTAGAGACCTGGGTCGTGACAGGCAGACACCGAGGTGCCCGACAGCCGGGGACGCCAAGATGCTGGACCTCCCTTTCGCTCAGGCAACGGTCATTTAATTTCCTTACCCGGACTTCAAAACTAGAAACCCCAAACCAAAAGCCCAAAACTAAAAGCCCCGAACTCAAAAACTGTCCCAAAACTAGAAACCCCAAACTCCGAGGTCCCCATCCCCATGGCGCTCTCAAGAGTCTGGACGCGAGAGCCGAGAGCCGAGGTTGGGGCGAGCAGAGCATCCCAAGGCTTCCTGTCCAGGAGGAGAGCTGGGGACGACCTGCGGTTTCAGTCACGTGATTTCAGTCGCGAGTCCGGTGAAGACCAGCTTTTAGACACGTACGCGCATGCACGTCTGTACCATGGTTGCATATAAAGTACCTACAAATACACAGCCAAATATGCTATGTGCATACTCTCTCACATATATATATATATATATACACTCGTATATATTGTTTACACACAGTCACCAATGTTGTGTCTCACAGCGCAGGAGCTGTGCGAGCCTCCTGAGACCGGAGAGGAGGGCGACGGCGACGTGCCGAGGACAGCCTTGTTTGGTCATGGCACCATGCCCGTCATTTTGGGTCAAGTTCAGATCGGGAAAATTTGGGCCGAGTGCACTGCCTGCTTCAACGAGGTAGAAAGAGGCACCGTCCATAACGCGTCAGCCCATCTTGCGGCATGCGTCTTGATGACACCCTGAGTCCAATGCCAGGATGCCAAGGCTGCCTTTTGCGTCGCGGCTGGCGCACCCGGGACCAGGCGCTTTTCTCACCTCTCTTGACGGGATGGTTGGAGGCCATGGAGCTTCGTCTGGCGACATGGCTGAGTGAATGGTATCACTGGGAGCCCCACGGGTTCTGATTTGATTGGTACCTGAGTTACCAATGACCCGCCTCCGCATGTTTTTCCTTTCGGGTGTCGGGCACCTCCCTTGAAGGTCGCCCAGGTTTGCTTGCGGCCCTGACGGGGGTCCAGGACCGCGTGCTTCGGAATCCCACGTTTGCTGCGCGCCGACGGCCCGGCGTGAGAATCGCTTGGAGTTGTCGCCGGTTGCGAGGACCTGGCAGGGGACACCCAGCCCCTCAAGGCGGGAAGGCAGCGAACACCGCTGCAAAAGACATGGAAGATGGAACGCAGTTGTTTCGGACTCGCTGAAAGCATTGAAGCCAGTTCTTTGAGGCTGGCAGATCTTGAGCGAGTCAGCTTGCACGGGCTCCAACAATATCTAACGAAGGCTTTTGCAGCGAAGGCTCAGGTCATCCACGTTGCGTCAAACAAGATGCTTCGCTCCGATTGGCCTTCCGCTGCGTGGCTCCAGTCGGGGCGCCGCTAGGGCGGCTCGAGACATATGGCATGAACATCGCACACAACTCATACGATGCAGTGATGCAGTGCAGACACGGACACGGCGGACACGGGACCAAAGGGCAGGGGACCTTCGTGCCTCCACGGGCCGGCAGCCCGGGCCCCAAAGCCGCGCTCGGAGATCCCTCGCTTTTTCAGAAGCTTTCCGAGCGAGGCCGTGGCCTAGGGGCCATGGCTCCAGCCGGGAAGCCCAGTGCGACTGATGCGACAGACGGACGCATCCCATGGCAAAGCGGTCCAGTCCAGGCTTTGACGCATCCCGTGGCAAAGTTGCTGTGTGTTTTGCTGTTCGTTTCGCCCAGGGCAGCAAGCCGACGGTTCCCAGCTCTGTGCACTTGGGACAGCGGCCGCCCCAGTGAAAGGAGGTGCTGAGAGTTGTGGATGGGCGGCGTTCCGCGCGAGAGAGCTCGAGGGGTCCGGCATCCATGGAATCCAAGATGGATGGGTTCCCGGGGCTCAGGATCCAGGTGCAAAAGAAGCTGGGTGCAGGATGCTTTGGAGAGGCGGGTTCCGCAAGAAGGAACTGGCCCAGGCAAAGTGTGGTCGATTTGGTAGACGATTCGGTTTACCTGAGCGATGCTCTTCCAGCTCTGTGTTCAAGTTTCTGCGGACTTCCCGCGGGTGGTCAAAGCCTGGAGCAGATTGGCTTGAGGCCTCCCAAGAAGCTTTGGGAAACGAGATACACGTGCTCGCGTCAGTCAAGCCAAGTGCTGGCAAGGAAAAAAAGGCTCACCAGTGGCCGGAAACGTCCGAGTATTCGTTCTACGTCTGAGTGCATGCTAGGGGCTTCTGCACCGGGCTAGGTTTACAAGGGCTTTCACACGGGCCTCAAAGCGGATGTCGCCATCAAGTTCGAGGCGCGGATTCGCTGAGCTTCGGGAGCTTCGCGAGCTTCCCGCGGCCAATTTCGCTCGGATTTTTCTGTTTTTTTTTGGCGCCGCAGGCGGTGCATAATCAGTCGCCGCAGCTTTGCCACGAGGCCGGAGTTCCGGGATCCGACGCGATCCATATGTGGATCCGAGCCACAATCCGAAACCGAGGGACCAATCAGTAGGTGCATCCGCTCTGGAGATTCTTCCCTACTTTGGTCTGTACGTGTTTTTGCTTAAGCAAACATGGCTGTGGGTCAAAAATATGTACCCAAAATGGAGCCCAGGTAAATGGAAACATGGACTGGAATTTGTGGTTTGGTGGTTTGATTTTGACCCGACGTGTGTCTCCGAAGTGATCAATCATTTGATCCGATCGTCAGGCAGAGATGCTGAAGCTGCTGCAGCCCGGGGACTTGCAAGGCTTCGCCAGGTTCTTCTACTTCGCGGAGGAGGCAGGGCGAGGCCATGCGGCCATGCGGCCAGTCACCGGGCAGTTGGGGGCGGTTCCGCGGTTACAAAGGGCTTTGGGCGCGAAGGGCCTGGAAATATATCTTCTCAGAACTCACTCACTCTCTCTCTCTCTCTCTCTCTCTCTTTTTCTATCTCTCTCTCTCTTCTTTTCTGTCTCCCCGCCGAGGGCAACTACAACTGCCTGGCCATGGAGTTCCTCGGGAAGAGCCTTGAGGACCACGTCCAGATGCACCCCGGGCGCGGCTTGAAAGCCCAACGCCCGCGAGCGAGCGAGCCGAGGGGCGTTTCTGAGAATCTGAGCCGGGATCCGCGGGTAAAGAATCTTCCTCTTTTTTTTTCCTCCGCTTTTTTTTTTTTTTTAATTATTATTATTTTGTTTTCCGGGTTGGGCAAATTGTTTGGTTTTGTTTTGGGTTGTTGAGCAAAGTGGGTTGTTTGGTTTTGGGTTGCTTTTGCTTTGTTTTTTCGGCGGCTTGGCGCCCGCTTGGTGCACATGGGGGGGGGGTTCTTCTGGAGCGTTGGGTTGGCCACGCATGGCCAGGTGTGGTGGACAGTTCTCCCCGAAGACTGCGTGCCTTGTGGCGCAGCAGGCAGCCGAAGCGCGGAAGTAGTGTCTGCAAGCGGACAGAAGCGGGATGTAGCCTTCTCCCACTCCCTCCCCCCATCGTTCTCCCTCTCTCTCTCTCTCTCTCTCTCTCTCTCGCTCTTCCTCTACTTCCTTCGTTCCTTATTTCCTTCCTTTCTTTCTTTGTTTGTTTGTTTGTTTGTTTCTTTGTTTCTTTGTTTCATAGTTTCTTTCTTTCTTTCTTTCTTTCTTTGTTTGTTTGTTTGTTTGTTTCATAGTTTCTTTCAGTTTCTTTCTTTCTTGATTTCTTTCTTTCTTTCTTTCTTTGGGTATTTCTTGTCTGTGCTTCTTTCTTTCTTTCCTTCTTTCTTTCTTTCTTTCTTTCTTTCTTTCTTTTTTTCTCTTTCACGCTTTCTGATTTTTCCCTCTCTCGAATTTTACTAGTGTCACGTGTCTTGGTTCAAAATGCGAGACGCATGCATGACCTTCCGGAATGGACTTTGAGGGTGCACTTTGCACATTCACATGCTGCAAGGTAGCTCTGCAGAGACACCCACACACACGTGTATAAACTATATATATATATGTACATATATGCATACATTATGCAGATATAGTATATAGACATACATAGATGCATACATACGCGCATGCATGCAGCATGCATACATACGTATGCATGACTTGGCGAGGTTGCCCTGCAAAGTCTTCACTACCCAGTCTAGTGCCTCGATGGTCAGGTTTTGATGCGCATCGAGTACTTGCACTCCCGAGGCAAGGATGTAGATGTTGCGGTCTTCGGAGTTTCTTGACCAAGATGTGCTAGTGCTTTGCTCAAGCCGAAAGTAGGACAACTTGGCTTAGCTTGTTTTCGGTGCCGGAGCTTCAAGTGGCCAAGTTGCCTTCGTGTCAGGCATCGTGCATCGAGCAGCTTGGCCAATGAGTGTCATGCCACGGCTGCGGTCTGGCCAATCCTTTCAGTAGCAAACTTGGCTTTCCATTGCTTGAGGCCTGTTGGGGCGAACGTCTGGCAATCGGGCAACGACCAAAGCACATCAACCCCAAGGTTGCGCCCAAGTTTTGATCGGCCGTTGCTGCGAGGTGATTTTTACACTTGGATGATCTCAGCCAGCGATTCAACAAAAAGACAAAAGCATGAAGCCACTCTCCAGATATGCGTGGATCGAGGTGCTCTGTTGCAGTCCGCTCCCATTGCGGAGTTCTGTTTCCAGTCAGTTTCTCTTGAAGCACAATTTCATACACGGAGCGCCAGGATTGAACCACACTTACATGTAGGAAGCAGCCAAAGCCAAATGGGTTAGCATTTCACACGTGCTTCTTCGCACTCGCTGGGGCAGACGTTCCAAGCATCCGAGGACATCAAACCGGAGAACTTCATGTGGGGCGTCGGGCCGAAGGTGTCGCTGCCTCGAGCTGTGAGGAGTGAGGGGGTTGGGGGGAGGGCACTGGACAGTTGTGTTGACGATGGCCCAGTCGCGTGGATGCTGAAATTGGCAGAATGCTGTCCGGCCGTTTGGATTTTTGGTTAAGCAAGATGCTGGTGAGGACTGGGAATGGGGGGTTGGCAGGTCATCAATTCATCAATTCCTTGCTTGTTCGTCGTCGCAAAGGGGAACCACAATGTTCCACTGCTCACCTGCTTGCCCTTGGGCTATGCGCCTGAGGCATCACCTTTACCTCATAGACTTCGGGCTGAGCAAGAGGCTGTTGCTTGAGTCGTTTCGCCGCCTGCTGAAATGGTTTCAGTGCAGGGAACCAAGTCGTTTCCCCAGGAGAGGAGTCCCAAGCCAAGCTCTTTATTGGCTCCAAGGATCCCTGAGGAACCCTTTGAACGCCAACTTGCTTTTGTCCGAGGGTTTGGATGCTTGCAACGGAGGTACTGGGACAAGCGCCATGTGAACAGCTCGCAGAAGCTGAGCCTCACCGGCACTGCAAGGCCTGGAGTGAGCGCCAAGCGAGCGCCAAGCGCGCGTGGTCGGGAGTCGTTGGGAGCCGGTTGGCCAGGTACGCCTCGTTGAACGCCCACCGCGGCATGGAGCAGAGTAGACGTGATGACTTGGAGGCGCAGGGTTCTCTGGAAATTTTCGTGAAGCCTCGGAAGAGCCGCGGGGCACGTGGGTCGGTTGGGCACGCCTGGACCGCAACTGTTGTCCGAAAACTGTCCGAAGCCAAGCCAGGCAATTGGCCACATGCTCATGTACTTCCTGCGCTCCTCGCTGCCTTGGTCGGGATTGGAGGCGAGAACCAAAAAGGCGGGGACTGGCATGAGGGCAGGTCTGGGCACGCGCACAGGGCGGGGCAAACCCAGTTGAAAGGCATCCGTGCATCCTTGGGAGTTGTTCCAACAGTTGGCCCGTTGGCAAGTTGCTATGCCTGGGTGCAGGAAAAGTACCAAAAGATCAAGGAGAAGAAGGACTTCGCCCTGCCGCGTGATCTGACTTTGGACGAGGGTGTGGCTGAAAAAGCCATTGGTGGCTCCAGAGGGCGGTGGTTTTTAGGAACTCATGGAGTCACACGAATCGACACGGCTTCGATGCTTCGCCTTGCCTGCTCGACCAACCCCAGGAGTCCACCAACCTGGTAGAGTTGCCGTGGGCTCGGGAGCCGCCGTGGGACCGCGGCGTGGTGTTTCAGCATCCAATGGCACAAGAGATGCAGCATGCGCCAGCCGTGGGATTCCTTCCAAGGGAAAAAACTGAGCCTCAACGGCACGCGCCGCAAGCGGGCCACCCAAGCGGTCGCAGGTGCGAGGGCCACCCCACGGCCTTCCGGACCTACTTGGAGTACGCCCGAAAGCTGGGCTTCAAGGCGTTCTTCGGCGCTTCTTTGGGACGTGGGGCTGGGGCGGTTCTTTTGGAAGTGGCGTCTTACCACAGGACCGGCCGGACTACGTCATGCTGCGGCGGCTCTTCGTGGAGCTCAGGGCCGGGAGCCGGAAGGAATCGACTCGGAGAGGGATGTAGGAAAACGATGCGATCGGCTCGCAGGTCGGATTGATCTGGCTATGGGTCAAAGCCCCGTACGCCCAGTGAACATCCCAATCCCCACTAAAATAGGTCCTAAAATGGGTGGTGAATTCACATACCACATGGGTGTTGACGGCCATCTAAGGCCCAACTCCAGAAAGACCAGGGCAAGCCCATCGAGGCGCACCCGGAATTTCCGGGGCTTGAGGGTGCGGGTCGAAGGGACGGACCCTGTGCCTGTCAAAATTGGGGGCGCAGGACAAGTTGCTCATGCTCAGACCAGGTCTTGGTCACTTGAAGAGGCAGCAAACATGGCCCGTCACACTTGATAGATCGGTTTGTGTGCCGGATCCCCTACATTGACCCTCAGAACAGGCGTCCTCAAAACAAAGACACCCACAGAAAATCCATTCGAATCCGTTGATTGCTCACCTTTTTGTGGAGCAAGCCGCCAGGACTGGCACTTTGAGTGGTTGGAAGGCAAGGAACACGAAGAGCCTGGGCCCTGGGTCAAACTTCTGGTCAAACTTTTGGCGTGTGAGGCTCGGACTTTTCTTTCCCACAGATCTTTAGAGGCGATCAAGACATTCAACAAGAAATTGACCGGCTTGGCCGGGCAAACAGACCTCGGGGGGGGGGGGCCAGGAACCGGTCAGCATCGCGGTCGGCCCCCAAGGCTGGATGCTTTGCTGCCCTATGACGACTTGAAGCAGCCGGATGACGAGGCTGGGAACGCAACAGCAGATGCTTGGCACCAGCCAAGCGTAAGGCCGGCAAAGGCATTTTTTTCCATTTCGGATTCATGAGATGCCTCCAGCAGGTTATTATCACAGTTTCTAAGGGCTTCCTCACCCTCAAAGTGAGGCAGCGTCAACGGGCTCGCTCAACTGGCAAATATGCCGCAAACCCACATTTACTTTTTAGCGCATAGAAGTACACGTTTTGACAGAGTGAGGCCGGCCCCAACCGGGCCTTCGGGCTGTATCAAAAGCCCATGTCAAGCTCGCCGCGTCCGTTTCCTGAGGCTGCCCCGGAGCGGCCGCGCAGCCTTTGCTGCTTCTGCGGCGGATCACAGGCCGGATGCTGGAGATTGAAGAGCTGAAGGAACTGTTGAGATGGTTGCTGATTTGTTTTCCTTTCGCCGCCAAGCAAATACCGATCTTGACAGACAGCCAACTCTTTCTTGCTCCTATGAAGGAAACATGACCTGCCAAAAGCGACAAGATCGTCACGCACACACTTGCACTGCCTTGGCCTAGCACGCTGAGGTTCGCAACTAGATGACAGCGGGTGCCAATCTCAGGTATCGTGTTGCGTTTTCTTGGCGGCCTTTCCCCCAAGGCATTGCGAAGAGTTCTTCCTGTAAGATCGCCTGGATATTTGCATAGAGAGACGGCGCAAAAAGCGACGCAGATAGATAAGAGCGCCTCTTGCGGAGAGAGGTGGCGCACAGGCAGATAGATAGCACAGAAGAAGAATACATGCTCTGATCATCGCCTGCTTCTTGCACAAAGAGGCAGCGCACAGAGCGACAGAACGCGCACTGAGTTTGCGCGTCAGACATCGCATTGAGATTGCGCGGAGATCTGACCTTGCGCTTGCACGTGAGACCATGATACGGACAGCGGCACAGATATTTGTCATCGTCATCGCATGTGAGGCATCCTGTGAGGTCTCGCCGCTTCTCAGTAAAAAAGTAGCGCGCGAAGTACAGTCTTGTAGACGGAAACGCGAAGCTTGTTCCTGCAGTTCCGCATCTCAAAGTTGCAGGCCAGCTTAGAGACGCTGGCACAAAGATATTGCAGGAACAACTTGCTCAGAGAAAAATGTCCAGAGAAGCTTGCACAACAGAAGCCTCACCGCGATCATGCGGTGTCACGTTTTTGCGCCCGCGTGCTCTGGTCTTAAGCTTGGCGGGCTTATGCGTTGGATTACAAAAGCAGCCTCGCAATCAAACACCTGGGCAGATGTATAGTAGTGAGGGACGTCCCAGGGTGGACAATCGTAATAGCAGGCTTTTATCATGACTCAGAATTTGCCATGTTACAATTTTGTCAGAAGGCTCACCCCGCCACTTGCCCATAAGGCATGAGAAATGAGATTGGAAGAGCTGTGCTGAGGTCTCACAAAGGCGAGTCAGCCAAGGCTGGAAGGGGCACTCGCGAGAAGGCACGGAGTGCCTTGCCCGTGCCAGGCCGTGCAAAGCGCAGGCCTTGGGACCCAGGCGCGGGGCAACGTCGCATCGCGTCCCATGGCTCTGGCCGCAGTCGCTGGGTCGCACAGGCCAATTGCCCCGGACGGCTGGGGCGGGAAGGCTCGGGTAGGCAAGGCGCAGCCCGACCAGAGTCGGCCGGACTTCAGCTTTTTTGTGACTGACGGCTTTGCAGAGGGTTTCGGGGGGAGAAACACTGACTCTCTCGCGAGATACTAAACTCGGTCTGGCGGACTGTATGCCTTGCCGCGTAGACGGTCTAAACCGCTGTGGGTCGGTGCAGCAAGCTAAATTTTGCCACAAGTGGCAGTAGGGCATGCGGTGGTTTGCATTTGGAACCTCAAAGTGACGTGCGTTGGTCTTTCAGAGAGTTGATGACACATTCCAAGATCACAAGTGGCACATAAAAACCTACCACAGAAAGCTCCGTGAAAGGAATGCCATAGGATCCCATTTTGAGACGCTAGGATGTTGGGAGATGCTTCGATTGGAGGTCGGGGTCCAGCGCTGCACCGATCCTTCTCCCGGATCGGCAAAGCTGATCACGGGGAAGTTTTCATATAGAGCCGCGGCCGAGCCGCGTGTGGAAACTCGGGAGATCCATGCAGTTCTGTTCGTGGACCCGTTGAACGGTTTGGATAGACTTTCCGTTTCCGAGCTCTGCTTGTGGCATGCGGCTTTTACCGGCCCTCGCCGAGGGGCAGCCGGCTCTGTGGGCCTGGGAACAGACGAAGCAAATTTTGTCGGAGCTGAGCATATCGCGGGGCAGATTGTCGGTGCAAGGGTTCAGTACCTTCCCGGGGCCCGGATGTGGCGAATTTAAGGATTGGGTTGCGGTGATACCCGCGAGCTCGACGGGCCGCCGATGTGCGGAGCGTCTCTTGCGACTGATTGGCTTTGGGGCGTCGTTTCCCGGACGCGTTTCACTGGCGCCGTTCCGCACGATGGGACCGATCGGAGATGGGAAGCATCGCACCGGCACGCAGAAGCGGCTGTGCGCAGTCGCTGGAGAAATAACCAGTGCACCAAGTGTCAAGTCCTCAGTCAGTTGAGAGGGCCCGGCGCCGAACTATGCGCAATATCGCAACATAACTTAGAATGGGGGCTAGAGTTTCCAGGGGGACTACTGTTGAGGGATCGGTGTACCATGGAACTCCCATGGACTAATTCGCATTGCTTCCAGAGTTGGCAAAGGCTTCAGAGGCTTCAGGTGGAAAACCAGCTGGGGGCAGTGGCACTGCGCAGCCCGCGCCGACCTACGCGCGGGACACAGCTTGCGCTGCGATTCTTGTGACATGTTTTGCTCTCCGCCAATTGCGTCTGGCATTGGTTGTGATTGGTCAATGTCGGCAATACTGGTCATGAAAGCTGCGGTTGTCATCTCCCGGATCTACTCTGGTGGAATCCTTCACTGGGAATCGCAGTGCAAGAGTTGAGCTTGTACGCCAGTACAGGCAAGGGCTCGAAGCGCAATGGAACCTCGAGCCTTTTGGAGAAAACAGGCGGCGCGTTCCAACAGACAAGATAGACATTAGACGCGTGTTGTTGGCCGAAACAAATGCACCGGCCATGGCAGACGGCAGCATCTCAAAGTGCAGCTCATTTGCATCAGCACTGTCACCAGGAACAAGTCTGTTCAACTAGGAGCTGGGATCCATCCGACATGCCAGGGCAGCCCGCGAGAGTTGCTGGAGCAGATCGCCTTTGACATCGAGGCCGGGGGGAGGCTTTCGGCCTGACTCGAGATTTCAGTTTCTTTCATGGACTTATGAGTGTTCATGTATATATATATATATATATGTATCCCCATGAACTAAAATATATATATATATATATATATACATATATATATATATACATTGGTCGCCTGATGGTTGCTTATACCTTGGGGAGGAAGCCAACCTTCTTTGGGAGGTTCCTGCCTTCGGAGCTTCGGCTGAGGACATCTCAAAGGCGATGCCGCGGATCACCAGCACCCCGGAGGAGCGCCTTCCGACGCCTTCCGCGTGTCTGACGTGTGACGTGCGGAGGAGGAGTCGCACCAGATGCCCCTGCTGGAATCACCCCGGAACAACCTGTGCGGAGGACGGGTGCGCAAAAGGGGAAGCTGCAGGAGGGGGCCCCCCGCCTTCATAATTAGACCATTCGTTTGGTGCTTGTTGGCACCGCACTTTGCCTTCATAGCGGACAAGCATTGTGAGAGTCAGAAGGGACCGGTTGGAAAACCACGGGACACAGGGCCATCACCTGTGAGACTGAATGATTTCTATCAGTTTGACAACCGCCAGGAGGATGCCTCGTCGCGGGTACAGCTTTTGAGGGCGCTGCAGCCACGTTCCTTTGCGCGCGCGGGTGTGTGTGTGTGTGCGCGCGTTTGGTCATGAGACGAATTTATGATGTATAGATACATCCATGCATGAATGTGTTGATACAGATATACACATGCACGGATATACATTCCAGATGAGTTTGAGCGTATTGTTTCGGTCTAATCCGCTGTTTGTCCTTTGCTTCTCGGTCCTTTGCTTGTCGGTCGATGGCCCCACCCATTTTGCAGCTGTTTGGTCGGTCGGCTATCGCGTTGTGTTTTTCTTTTTGGGTTTTAAGGCTTTTCATTCCCTCCTGTTCTGCTTTGCAATGCCTCCCGTGTGCTGTTTTTCCCATGCTCGCTCTGCGCGCTCTGCTTGCAGCTTTCTTCCTCGGTTGTTGGGAAACGTGCGCCTCGCCCGGGGTCTGTCTTTGTGGCCTGCCTCTCTTTTGTTGGCTTTGCCAGACTAGACTGGCCCCGACGGCAGCAATTTCTGGAGCGTCACAGCGGCCAAATCTGGAGAGCAGCCTCCGAAGACCAGAAGCTAGCCTTGGGCCTCTCGCAGGGGCCAAATTCGGTCGGATCCATTTGTTTTTTGGAAGTGAAGAAATCGAAATCGCGAGCAACCTTCCTTTTGAATCCACTGGGTCGTTTTTGCAGGGGTTCTTGGGACGAAATGCGCCTCATGGACCACGGGACCGATTTCGGCGCAGTTACCTAGCGCCGGCAAGTCGACACATGGACCCACGCGGGTAGACCCCATCGGCTTCGCAGGCCGACGACTTAGCTGCTTGGCCAAAGTGTCTTTGCTTGCCGGCCCGCGCGCTAAAGCCCAAGCGAACAAAACTGGGCTCGCCAGCAAGCGCGCGCGCCGCGAAGTCTCGGGGACGATGTGGTCAAGGCGGTGGCTCAAAGCGTCATTCCGTGAGGCCGTGGGTTCGAAGGAGCGCAGAGCTTACGGCGTATGTGCACTGGCATTGGCCTTGCCCGATCATCTTGGCACTCGGATTTTGCTCGCGGAAGCGCGGCTCTGCGGCCTTGCGACCCTGCTGACTAAGGGGCGAAAGCGGTAGCCCGCTGGTCGCTTCTCTCCCTCTCTCCCTCTCTCCCTCTCTCCCTCTCTCCCTCTCTTTGTTTTTTCTCCTCCTGTTCTATCTCATCTGAATTCCTCTGTTCTTTGATCTTCTCGATCTTCTCTTCTTTCTCTTTCCCTGTTCTATCTCCTCTCATGTCTTCATCATTTTTTCATTTGGATTTCCTTTCTCGTTCTATTCTTCTCACTGCTCCGCTCTCGCCAGGCTTGGAGCCTGAGACGCCCAGCTCGGTGGGCGCCAGCGTGCGGGGCCCCGGAGAGGTCCAGCCGCCTGAACTGTTGGCGTGGATTTTCTGATGCAGAAACTCCCCTGAAGCGCCTGAACTGTTCCAAGTCCAAGCAGACTGGTTAGAGCAACAATTCGCCAGATTGGTGACTGGCTCCAACTCTTTTGGGTCACGTTTCTTTTTTTGGGAGGGACACTTTGAAGGATGGGGTTGGCTTTTCAGCTTTGAAGGAGGGTTGATGTGCAATGAGCTTTTGGGACAACACCCACTCAACAGGTGCAACAACTGATGTCCGATTCTGAGACGGGTTTCTCCAAGCAAGCTTCCCTGCAGGAAGCGGACTGGCTGCGCGCAAAGCGCGAGGAGGACGAAGAGGAGCCACCTGCACGCAAATCTGTAAGCATTGCTGGTTCAGTGAGGGCAGCTGCCCAGTGGAGAGGCAGTTTCTGCTTGCTGATCTTTGCGGGAGCAGACATGAGGCCGCAAGCGGCATGCATTTAGTTGCAGACAATGTTGGTGGCTTCTGAGAGTGCTGCATCGCGTGATGATATCTTTTGTAAGATGAACTGCGGCAGGGTGGGGGTTCGATCACCCAAGACTCCTTGCGTGTGCAATCCGTGATATTAAAAGGCGAAGCTGAGATCAGCCAGGTTGCGTGTTCAGTGAGGGCAGCTGCCCAGTTGAGCAGTTGAGAGGTTGTTTCTGCTTGCTGATCTCAGACAATGTTGGTGGCTTCTGAGAGTGCTGCATCGAGTGATGATATCTTTTGTAAGATGAACTGCGGCAGGGTGGGTGTTCGATCACCCAAGACTCCTTGCGTGTGCAATCCGTGATATCAAAAGGCGAAGCTGAGATCAGCCAGGTTGCGTGTTCAGTGAGGGCAGCTGCCCAGTTGAGAGGTTGTTTCTGCTTGCTGATCTTTGCGGGAGCAGAAATGAGGCCTCAAGCGGCATGCATTTAGTTGCAGACAATGTTGGTGGCTTCTGAGAGTGCTGCATCGCGTGATGATGTCTTTTGTAAGATGACCTGCGGCAGGGCGGGTGTTCGATCACCCAAGACTCCTTGCGTGTGCAATCAGTGATATTAAAAGGCGAGGCTGAGATCAGCCAGGTTGCGTGTTCAGTGAGGGCAGCTGCCCAGTTGAGAGGTTGTTTCTGCTTGCTGATCTTTGCGGGAGCAGAAATGAGGCCGCAAGCGGCATGCATTTAGTTGCAGACAATGTTGGTGGCTTCTGAGAGTGCTGCATCGCGTGATGATATCTTTTGTAAGATGAACTGCGGCAGGGTGGGGGTTCGATCACCCAAGACTCCTTGCGTGTGCAATCCGTGATATTAAAAGGCGAAGCTGAGATCAGCCAGGTTGCGTGTTCAGTGAGGGCAGCTGCCCAGTTGAGAGGTTGTTTCTGCTTGCTGATCTTTGCGGGAGCAGAAATGAGGCCTCAAGCGGCATGCATTTAGTTGCAGACAATGTTGGTGGCTTCTGAGAGTGCTGCATCGCGTGATGATGTCTTTTGTAAGATGAACTGCGGCAGGGCGGGTGTTCGATCACCCAAGACTCCTTGCGTGTGCAATCAGTGATATTAAAAGGCGAGGCTGAGATCAGCCAGGTTGCGTGTTCAGTGAGGGCAGCTGCCCAGTTGAGAGGTTGTTTCTGCTTGCTGATCTTTGCGGGAGCAGAAATGAGGCCGCAAGCGGCATGCATTTAGTTGCAGACAATGTTGGTGGCTTCTGAGAGTGCTGCATCGCGTGATGATGTCTTTTGTAAGATGAACTGCGGCAGGGCGGGTGTTCGATCACCCAAGACTCCTTGCGTGTGCAATCAGTGATATTAAAAGGCGAAGCTGAGATCAGCCAGGTTGCGTGTTCAGTGAGGGCAGCTGCCCAGTTGAGAGGTTGTTTCTGCTTGCTGATCTTTGCGGGAGCAGACATGAGGCCGCAAGCGGCATGCATTTAGTTGCAGACAATGTTGGTGGCTTCTGAGAGTGCTGCATCGAGTGATGATGATGTCTTTTGTAAGATGAACTGCGGCAGGGTGGGTGTTCGATCACCCAAGACTCCTTGCGTGTGCAATCCGTGATATTAAAAGGCGAAGCTGAGATCAGCCAGGTTGCGTGTTCAGTGAGGGCAGCTGCCCAGTTGAGAGGTTGTTTCTGCTTGCTGATCTTTGCGGGAGCAGAAATGAGGCCGCAAGCGGCATGCATTTAGTTGCAGACAATGTTGGTGGCTTCTGAGAGTGCTGCATCGCGTGATGATGTCTTTTGTAAGATGAACTGCGGCAGGGCGGGTGTTCGATCACCCAAGTCCTTGCGTGTGCAATCAGTGATATTAAAAGGCGAGGCTGAGATCAGCCAGGTTGCGTGTTCAGTGAGGGCAGCTGCCCAGTTGAGAGGTTGTTTCTGCTTGCTGATCTTTGCGGGAGCAGACATGAGGCCGCAAGCGGCATGCATTTAGTTGCAGACAATGTTGGTGGCTTCTGAGAGTGCTGCATCGCGTGATGATGTCTTTTGTAAGATGAACTGCGGCAGGGCGGGTGTTCGATCACCCAAGACTCCTTGCGTGTGCAATCAGTGATATTAAAAGGCGAAGCTGAGATCAGCCAGGTTGCGTGTTCAGTGAGGGCAGCTGCCCAGTTGAGAGGTTGTTTCTGCTTGCTGATCTTTGCGGGAGCAGACATGAGGCCGCAAGCGGCATGCATTTAGTTGCAGACAATGTTGGTGGCTTCTGAGAGTGCTGCATCGAGTGATGATGATGTCTTTTGTAAGATGAACTGCGGCAGGGTGGGTGTTCGATCACCCAAGACTCCTTGCGTGCGCAATCCGTGATATTAAAAGGCGAAGCTGAGATCAGCCAGGTTGCGTGTTCAGTAAGGGCAGCTGCCCAGTTGAGAGGTTGTTTCTGCTTGCTGATCTTTGCGGGAGCAGACATGAGGCCGCAAGCGGCATGCATTTAGTTGCAGACAATGTTGGTGGCTTCTGAGAGTGCTGCATCGCGTGATGATGTCTTTTGTAAGATGAACTGCGGCAGGGCGGGTGTTCGATCACCCAAGACTCCTTGCGTGTGCAATCAGTGATATTAAAAGGCGAGGCTGAGATCAGCCAGGTTGCGTGTTCAGTGAGGGCAGCTGCCAAGTTGAGAGGTTGTTTCTGCTTGCTGATCTTTGCGGGAGCAGACATGAGGCCTCAAGCGGCATGTGTTTTCGGAGGCAAGTTTTTGCTTCTGAGGGTTTCTCTCACTTTGCATTTTTACTGGCACATTGACTCGAGCTTTGCTTTTTGTTGCTCGTTGTTTCCGCCAGTATCTGCTCTACCTCAAGAGCCAGTCCGCTGACGGCGTTCCGCTGGTGAAGCTGTGAGATCTCCCGGCTTCCAGCGCCCAGTTTCGGGGTCCGGCTGCCTGTACATAGTGGGAATGCGTTCACCAGATCCAGGCCCAGTAGGCGAATGGCTCAGGCTCAGAATTTCATCCCGAAGTCAGCGCATGGCGAGTGGTGCCACTGGTTCGAATTTTGAGCCAAAATCAGAGGTTGGCCCCCGCTCTCGGCAAAGCCGGACAGGCGGAGACGAAAACGGGCTGTTTGAAAAGGCTCGCTTGCCCGAGTCTTAGGCGCAGAGCCGAGGGAGCAGTCTGGTGTAATCTCTCTCTCTCTCTCTCTCTCTTCCCATCTTGAGGTCACCCTTTGGCAAACACATTTTTTCTGCATCACATCCCCGTCTATTTGCCCGGGTCGAGCATTTGCCGACAAAAGGATGCCGCTCAGCCAGCTGATGTCCGCCTTCCCGTGCGCAGTTTTACAGGGGGGATGCCACGTGGAAAGCAGTTCGTTCAAATTTCGAGGCACGGCATTACCAGCCATGGCTCGCATCACACGGCCCAGCAAAGCAAGAGAACGTTGCCACAGCCACAAAGAATTGCAACGGCACATCATGGTCGCCGAAGAGGAGCGTCGTCCAGTGGGACAGTTCGGGTAGCCGTGCATCCTTGGTTTGTCATTTTGATGGCCCGCGTTTGGAAGCACACTCCACATTTCCCGACCCATCTTGCGAGATCAGTCCTTGGCAGATCAGTCCTTGGCCAGAGGCAAGAGGCAGAGCCAGTGGAGAGTTTGCAAACGTGAGGTCCCTGCCAGAGGATTTGATTCGTTTTGTCCTATCAACTGGCAACCTGCTTGGATAGAGCCTCCCCTGCCAGGAGCCCGCAGAGGAGGAGAGCAAAACGAGCGAGCCGTGACGAGTGGGGTGAGCGAATGCCCATACCGAAGCTCCAGCGAAGCACTGGTCCCTAGCGCACCTGGCCCGACCGTTCGCAGGAGAAGCCTGCAGAGGCGCCGGCTGTTCGTTCACAGAGGTTGGTGTCGCGCAAATGGTCATGTTTGCGGGTTTGCGGGTTTCCAAGCCCTTGCCGCAGTCGAAGGCTCGCTGAGGAGCAATGGGCGAAAGACGTGCAGTCAAAGAGTTCCAGCTTTCACAGCAGCTGTCACAATTGTTGTGTCCTGATTTCCCCTAGCCAATCCCAACATTGAAATCCCACACGCCTACTTTGTCAAGTTCCCTTTGTGTGTCGCACCTTCTACGCGCATGCCTGGTGGCAGCTTTCCATTCTTTGCGCAGATGCCGCCTTTCTCGCCTGACGTTTAGCTCTTCGCCTCTCGCGGCATTCGTCGGCGCCATGTGCCGCTTTGACGCGCACCGGGCCATGACGTCCTGCAGCAAAGCCCTGCAGTGGGAATCGGCGGTGGATGTCCTCACGACGCTGCAGCACGAAGGGCTGCAAGGACTGCGGGAAACGAGGCAACGAGGCCAGGATGACCAGTGAGCGGGGGTTTTGTGGAGTGGCCAAAAAGGACCTGCCAAGAAGTAGCTGCTGGAGGTTTCTCTGCGTGGTGATGGTTGGCTCTGGCCCCCTTGGACTTGAAGCGTTTGATTCTCTTCAGATTTGTTTGAAGCCCCGTCCCCGTTGTTCTCCTTGGAAACTTGTCTTTGATAAAACTTGAGCCTTTCTCTTTTATGGTATTTCAGTTGCAGCCCCTTGACGACTCGAAAGTGTCAGGCACCCTTGGGCTTGACGACCACTTCGCTGTCCTTCTCCACAGCCCCCCTTGACCTCTTAGGACTTGTTGAATGCTTAAGGTTCCCACTGGAGAGGTCGCCCTTGCCGCCTTTCTCTGCGCCAGGAGACGCGGTGCTCGTGAGCCGCGCCGTGAGCTGCGCTGAGAAGCGGCGCCGCTGGCGCCAGGCGCTGAGGACGTGGTCGGAGCACGCGCAGCGGGGATCGTCGCGCGAGTCGGCGGACCCGGCGCCGTGCAACGCGGCCATCAGCGCTTGTGCGCCCCGGAGAAATGGGCAAAAAAGGACGGGTGGACCGGGCTTCAAGCAGTGTTGATCTCTTTGGGCTGAAATTTGGATTCATATTTTGATGTGAGTTGATGCGAGCTTGCCTCGTGAGTGGCTAGTATGTATCGTCCTTTCGTTGGTTTCTTTGTGATTGGTGCATGAACAAGGGTCATTGTAGCGCCATGAACATCGATGCTTCACTTCGGCAGCGAGCACAAGGATGTCCCAGCAATCGCACCCCCCAAACCTCTAGGGTAAATGTTTGGTCTGAGTTCATTCAGTGTCCCAAACATTATTAGGTGCCCTCTTGGTGCTTAGGACAAATATTCAGCCCTTTGCTCGACTGAGGACAAGGGAGGGCAGTGGCACTTGTCTCTGGAGCTTTTGCAGCAGCTCACAGCTGAAGGCCTGCAGGCGTGCGCGTTCCTTTTCGCGCGCGGTTCATTCAGTTGGCATGCCACCAGGTCCGACCTTCAATGCAGATTGGGGAGTGCGGATTTGTCAAGTTTACAAGAGCATCTGAAAGCTTGTCCGCTTTCGTGCCGAGGAATTCCGGCAACAATTCCGACCTATTTTCCCATCCCAGTGCGAACTTAGTTGGGTATGGGTCAAACTTGGTCACATTCCAGACCGCAGATCTTAGTCCATGTTTTCATTTGCCTGTGTAGTGTCAATACTAAATATATCAAGTTCATTGGCAGAGGGAAAAACTAAAAACAAAACAGAAAAACAACACACCTACCATTTTGGGGCTCCCCGATTTTTCTTTGCCTCCGCCCTTTGCTTCGGTCCGCGGCTTCGACTTGGCCCCGCTCCAAACCGCGGCTCGGGCGGCGCGCTCGGCGCGCAGGCGGACGCGGTGTCCTTCTGCGCGGCGCTGGCGGCGCTGCGCTTCGCCTGGCGCCGGGCGCTGGAGCTGCTGCGCCGGATGCAGGCGGCGGGGACACGTGGGGACACGTGGGGGTCGGGGGGGTCGGGGCGGGGGGTCCGAAGTCGGGAAGTCGGGGGGGGGGCCGGGGTCGGGGGAAGCTGCCGCGAGAGGGTGCGGAGTTTTTTCGTTTTTCCTTTTCCGGACTGGCGCGGATGGCAGGGATTGCTGGGCAAATCCAACGTGGTAAAACCACCCCAGGGCGTGAAGGGAAGAGAGCCAGTATGTGAGAAGCTGCCTGGTCCAAATACGGGATCTCTGCAGGCTCCCTTCGGCAAAAACTTACGAACGCTCAAATGCCGAGCGTTGCTTTGGGGTGCAAGCCCTTCTTCTCCGTTGAAAGCAGATGCAGCAGGTTTGCCACTGGACATGCTCAATTCTAAACTGTCGTTTGTGAGTGTTGAGCTTGAGGACAGGCGCCTGGAGGGCAACGCGTTCACCTATAGCGCCGCCATCAGCGCATGCGAGAAGGGACAGCAACTAGGCGAAAATGAGGCCGGGACCATTTGCTTAGGCAGCCGCCTGGGTTTTGGCGTCCTCTGGTTGGCCTTGCTCTATTTTTCGTGGCACGCACATGCGCACAGGCACATGCACACTGACCAGAGGTTTGTGGAAGGCACTCATGTTTCGTCAAACGTGAGCCGCAGTTGGTGCGCTTCAATGATTTCGACAGTTGGTAGACAATGACTTCGCCGCACTTCAAAGTTGGGAGCAGTTTTCATATTTGTTTATTTCGTGCATGTTTGTTCATTTGCTGGGAAACATAATGTTGGAAAGGAGACGGCGCGCGGCTGAGGCGGTGGCAGCTGGCGCTGCACTTTTTGGCGGAGCTCCAAAAGCGGCGCCTGGCGGATGTGGTGGCCTACGGCGCAGCCATCAGCGCCTGCGAGAAAGGCCGACCGAGCGACTATTCGGCGGACGCGAGCGAGCGGCGGTCGCAGCCGGGGTTTGGACTACCTCGGGGAGTCGGGGTGCATTTCTCTGGGGTATGTGCATGGGGATCATGGAGATTTGATTTTCACCAAGTCTCTGGCCGCTTTAAGGCCTGCAATGGGAGTGGGCGCTGTTCCTTCTCTGCGCTGCCGTCTCTTTGGGCGCCACACCCAAATTGCTAGTGAGCTTCAGCGCCGGCGTGAGCGCCTGCGAGAAGGCAGGGACCCTGGACGAACACGTCTTGTCTTTTTCTTCTCTTTGTTTTCTGTGGACCTCTCCTTTTTGTGATTTCTGTGGAAACATGTGAAACCTGTTCGGCCTTCTTGAGCGGAAACATGTTTCTGAAACACGTGAAACATAGGCCTTGTTTAGCGGAAGCATGTTTCTATTTCCGTGGAAAAATGTAGAACATGTTCGGTCCTTTTGAGTGGAAACTTGACCTGTGACACATTGGTTTCTGAAACATGTGAAACATATTGGTTATCATGTTAGGCCTTTCTGAAGCATGTGCTTTCTGTGGACACATGTGAACCATGATCTCGGTCCTTTCTCTTTTTTGGGTGGACACACGCCATGTGAAGCATGTTTGACGGTTTACCTTGTGGGGGGAAACATACAAAAAACAAAAAGCAAAAACACACAAAAAAAACACAAAAAAAGCCAAACAATACAAAAAAAAAAACACAAAAAAACAACGCATCCAAACAAAATACAAAACAAAACAACAACAACAACAAAAATACAAAAACAAAAGGGGGGGGGGAAAACGCGCAAAAAGCTACGAGGCCTGCCGCTGGTCCTGGGCCCTGCACCTCCTCTCGGAGCTGCGGCCGCGGCGGATGGCGCCGGACACCGCGGCGCAGAACGCGGCGCTCAGCGCCTGCCGGGGAGAAAGGCGAGCTTTGGGCCCTTTGGAATTTTCTCTGCGCTTCTCGGTTTCTAGATGTTCATATGCTTTTCGTATCCTTTTCGTATCCATTTCATATCCTTTTCGTATCCTTTTCATATCCTTTTTATATCCATTTCATATTTTATTTTCTTGAGTTTGCACGTGACATGTTTGTTTTCTTCTCGTACTTCTTTTCAAGTACTTCTTCTACAAAAAGTGCTTGGGCTCTGGTCAGCTTTGGGCGAATTTTGTACGTCCTGTACTTCTTCTTTTGCACTCCTGGAGTTACTTAGTGACCTCCCACCGCGAGGGTTGCCTAAGTCTGAACATGTTTGCGTCGGTGGGGGGGGCATATAACTGCCGGCTGACGCAGAAAGCTGCGCCGGGCTCGGGTTTGGTGGCCAGAGGACGGTTGCAACTCTTGGCCGTAGATGGTGGTAGATGGAGGTAGATGGAGGTAGATGTGGAGGTAGATGGAGTGATTTTGTGGAGGTAGATGGAGTTGAGCTCTGGGATTTTCCAGGTCAACGGGAGTTGCCTGGATCGGATCAGGTGGCAGAGGACACTTCAGCTGCTGTCTGACATGAAGGCCAGGGTTAAGGGAAAAACATTCGCTGCTGTCTGGACGCGGGACGGGCGAACCACGTCAGGGCTCCAGCAACGTGATCAGCTTCAATGCCTCCATCAGCAGCATGTGCCGCTGGGCTGAAGCGGTGCAGCTCTTGCGAGAGCTTCTTCAGAGGCAAGGAAGCAACGAGTTGGCTGAGAAAGTTCAACATGAGACCAGCGGCCTCGTTTATGCACTTTGGAACAGCATTAAAACAATAGCCGCAGTGAGAGCATTGCTTGATTGAGTCACATGCTTCCCTGGTTGCACATGATCGTCAATGGGTCGCTTCTCATGGCAGTCTCCTTAGCTCACTGACCAGAAAGAAGCTATGGACTTATACACTGCCTTGCCTTTCCAGGTGCAACCCCGCCAGAAACGTATTTGTCGCACAGGATCGGACTTCATCCAGTTTCCTGAAAAAACTTTCCGCGAAGCCGCGCTTGCATTTGTTGGAGAGCCTGCGAGAAGTCTTTGGTGCATTTTGCTTGGATGTTGGGACTTTAACCTTTTGCCAGCTAATGGGTTTTCCATTAAACCACAAGTTAAACTTTTCGCAGGGGAGCAGAAAGACACCCTCACACTTTTTTCGTGACACAAAAGGGCTCGGTGTGACTCATGGAAATTCCCCAATTGCAGCTGGAGAGCCTGTGAGAAGTCTTCTCTTTGGTGCATTTTGCTTGGATGTTAGGACACTAACATTTGTTGCCAGCGAATGGGTTTCCCATCAAACCACTAAAGGTCACTTTTTAAACCATTAAACTACTAACCATTAGAATCGCTAACCATTAAAACCACTAACCATTAAACCCATTAAACCATCAAACCACCTAACCATCAAACCACCAACCATTTTCCATTCAAACCACTGGGGGAGCAGCCGAGCAGCCGAGACGTCCTCCTTCAAAACCGCCGCTGCCCCCGGCTGCGAGGCTGCGGCCGGACGCCATCAGCTTCAACGCGGCGTTGGGCGGCGAGTGGCGCAGATGCGGCACGCTGCTGGGGCAGATGCGGCGCAGCGCGCTGCGCGCCACCGGCGTCTCCCTGCAGGAGGCGCCGATTTGTTTTTCTTCGAGAAGCGAGAAAAGACACCCTCACATGATTCACATGAGTCACAGTCAAAACCCGGCATAAGTGCACGGAACATCGGATTGGCCAAGACAAACCACTTTGAGCTGCCCAAGTGGAATCCTATGGTTCTCCGCGCCAAGTGAGCCACAATCAAAACCGATTCGGTTGCGGCCGCCTTTCTAGTTCTTTACATGGTTCTGGGTTCACCATTTTTGTACCAGGTTTTGATAGTGACTCACATGACTGTGGGTCAACACCAATGGGATCCCATTTTGGTTGGTAGGTGAGTTCACCACCCATTTTAGGACCCATTTCAGTGGTTGGATCGGGATGTTCCCCGAATTTACGACCTACGGATTTTGAGAAGCCCACGGCAATGGCCCCCCCTTTTCGCGGTGACGCACGCCTACGGATTTGGTGGGGAGAGGACTCCGGGGGAACGTTCCCGCCCCAGCCGAGGCCATCGGCTGCTCGGACTGGGCTGGGGCCTTGCGGCTCCTTCCGGCGGGGGCGGGGTCGGCGGGTTCGCCCGGGGCGGCGGTGCTGGGCGCCGCCGCCAGCGCCGCGGAGCGAGGCCCGGAATAGGCGACAAAGGTGTCTGCGGCACAAAGGTGTTTTAGTTCTGCGCACAGGTCAAGCCTTTTTCTTCTTTTTAAATCTGTTTGCTTTCTTCCGTCCGACGCTTTGAGATGCACCAAAAAGCGCTCACAGCCACTCCCGCGGAGTGCCGCTACGGCGCAAAGTCTTCGGACACGGCCAGGCAGCCAGTGGCAGTGGTCGCTGCGCCTGGCGCCGCGCGCGGGCTCCTCGGGCTCCGCGGTGGGCTGCAGCGCCGCCATCAGCTCCTGCGCCGCGCGCCGCGCCTGGCGCCGCTCGCTGCAGCTGCTGCGGCAGCTGCGCGCGGACCAGGCGGGCTCCCCCGAGTTCAGGGACGGCCTCGTTGAGCAGCGGCCAATGTGTGTCGTTTGTTTATGGTTTTTCCTGGTTTTCAAGTGGGATGATTCTCTGGCCATCTTGGAAGCATGAATGCCATCAGGGTTCGAGCGCCGCTGGTGTTTGGGCAACACCTGGCCATGGGTCAACACCCCGTACCCCCAGTCAGTGAACATTCCAATCCCCACTAAAATAGGTTCTAAAAATGGGTAGTGAATTCATCTACCAACCAAAATGGGATCCCAAAGCGGCTTTGACAACCACAGCCATATGTTTCACATGTTTCACTCATGTTTCCACTAAAAAAGGCCAAACTCATGTTTCATATGTTTCCACAGAAAGCACCAAAAAGAGATGTCCACAGAAAAGAAACAAGAAGAAAGCGAGAATTCGTTTTGGCCGAGGACGTGATCGCCTTCAACGCCTGCGTCAGCGCCTGCCAAGCCTCCTGGCAGGTCTGCTTGAGCCTGCGGGCGGAGATGCTGGCGCGGCTGCGGGGAACGGCGCCTTGGGCCAAAGGGGGACGTCAAATGCTGTGGTGGTCAAAACCGTTAAACGGCATCCCATTTTGGTTGGTAGGTGCACTCACCGCCCATTTTAGGACCTATTTGAGTGGTTGGATTGGGATGTTCACTGGGGGTACGATTTGGATTTTGACCCATGGCCAAACGACACCAGAGTGTCACCAGAGGAACGAGATTCCCCGAGATTCGTAAGATGCACGCATGCATCATTCCACCAGGCAGAGCTCGTCACACAGGCCCTCTTCTTTGTGAGAATGGCTTGCTGAATGCTGAATGTTTGAACACAAGTTCAGAATGGATCCAGAAGATCGCCGTGGGCTCTTTGCACTTGCGACGGGTCGGGGGGGGGGGGGGAAACCTCGCGAGGTCATCTCCTACAATGCCTGCATCGACGCATGTCAGAGGGGCACACAATGGCGCTGGGCCCTGCTCCTGCTGCAGGAGAGAATTCAAGCGAGGAGGTCCATACTTTTGACTCACACGGACAGTTTTTGGCCGCTGATCTGCCTTGCAGACCCGCTTTTCAGATCCGCTTGACAAGATCCGCTTGCCGAGCGCCTTTGTGCAATTTTGAGGCGAGAGATGTAACTCGCAGGACATGGAGGAGAAGCTTCTGGAACCAGTGGCGGTCACCGTGCAGTCTGCCCTCCTCGCGCTGCAAAAGGCCCGGAGTCGGTTTCGTAGGCGCAGAGAGCTTCCGAGTCAGAGTTCCACGGGTGCCGTTTCTTGGGGATGGTCGGTGGAGATCTCAAGCACTGCGCTGACACAGAAGGCCCGGGGAGCTCTCGAATCGACCAGGCACGTGGGCTACACGTTTTGCAAGCAAGCAACACTCCAACCGAGATTTACCTTAGAGAAGCGCGAGCGTGGTCGGGTCTTGTGATTCTGGACCAGCTGAGCATGTCACGACATGTTGTTCTCATGTTGTTCAAGGTAAAATGACACACACACACAGCTTATTCTTGAGAACCGTGCCAAAAAAAAAACAACTCATGCACGGACGTCATTGGACTCGCCGCATCTCAGCATGGTCAGTTGGCTGCTTCCTCGAGCTTATTTGGCTTTGCGCTAGATGTGACATGAGTGGAAGGAAGCAATCCCGATATTTGAAAAGAGTTGTTTACATGAGCGTCTAAAGTGCTTTTGGACCTCCAGCAATGTTGAGCAGCCACGCAAAGTCCAAGATCCAGCGGCTAGCCCAAATTCCAGATGTACACATTTTGTGGATTCCCTGGAGACTTCAAGGAGTTTGCTGCATACTGACTACTGCACTGAGCTGCAGAAGTGCGTAACCCACATGCTGGATTCCAGATGGGACGCAAGTCTAATCAAGACTTGTGGTTGTGGATGAACTCACTTTAGCATTTGCAAGTTGCACAACAGGAGAGCAATCAAACCCAAGCTTGCCAGCATTGAGCTCGTCTCTGCTCAAGAACCACGCCCTTCAGATGGCTTGCTTAGCTCGCTTTGTAGATTCGCTTAACCTCAATCAATCTGGGTGTGGCTCAAAAGTTCAGAGCTAGGGTTACGCGGATTTTAGTCTTTGGTGCCATGTACCAAGGTGCCATTTTGGTACATGTTTTTGAGCCACAGCCATCTGAGTCGAAAGGACGTGCCACATGTCGAGTCGGCAGGCCTCTTTGCTGGCCACCGCAGTGCCGCTGCTGGCGCGGCTGACCTTCCCGGCATCCTTGGAGCCCGAAAGAAGCGCAGTGGATCGACCCCTGAACCTTTCGGTGTCCGGTTTTGGGCAAGTGCAATAGGTATGTCAAGCTATGTCCAAACGAAGAACATCTCCAAGCGCCGAGCCTCTGGCAAAACGGTTCTGCCATCGCCTCTTTGGGTGCTCGTCAGGCAGTGCCCGTGGGGGAGACTGCGCCGCCAGTGCAGCAGTTCAATCCGGAGCGGGATGGAGTTTGGACATCCCTTGCAATTTCCAGTCGAGCCCTTTTTGATTGGCCAGCTAGAACTTCTTGGCTCAACTGGCAAAGGTCAAGCCAGTTTCTGCTCTCCCAAATGCTAGAATAGGGTTGTTTTGCTGCGGGTGCTTCTGGGCTTGGTTTGTTCTTGTGTCTGAATGTGCTTCATTTCCAGTTTCTGAACCTTCAGAGTGCATGCCACGAGAGAACTTGCAAACTTTTGAAGATGTTTCTTGACACTCCCCAGCGTTTTTTTCTTCCTTTTTTTTCTTCTTCTTCTTCTTCTTCTGTTTTTTGTTCTTCTTCTTTTTCCCCTAAACCTGCGCATTTGAGCCAAGCAATTGTTCATGGGCTTGCCTTGGCAGCAAGCGAAGTGGGGTGCTTCAGGAGCAGGGCCTGTCGCATGCCATCTCGCTGGCAATGCGCGAGCAGTGCACCAGCGCAGTCTTTGAGCTTTGCGATGGTCGGAAACGCTGGTGGTTGAGCAGGGCTCCTGAAAAAAGATACATCTTGCCCATTTGAAACATGGCTCTTTTTCGCCGAAATAAAGGGAAACCACAATTTACAAGGCAATTTTTGGGGCATTTCGTCTCCATGGATGCTGGCACAGCATTTCGGAAGAGTGGACTGTCTGATTGTAGTTTACTTGCAGAGAGCAAGCATTGGCCCCACTCGGCAGGAAGTGACATATGCAACCATTTGCGAAAAGCCAATTCTTCCCGCTTCCCCTTGCACCAAAAAGCGGTATGCGGGATGAACATCTCTCCGGAGGTACGCTGAAGGCTGCTCCATCTATGTGGGAGGGCTAGAGGGAGAGGACGAGATGTACCCGGAGCAGCTGCTTGACGCAAGTGCGGGGATGACACTGTATTCACCACCATTGGATCAGATATGTTGGGCACTGGGTAGGTCCATGAGAGCAGTTCCTGTTTTCGCTTGTCGCACCCGCAAAGGAGTGAGCCCACTTCACCCGTGCATTGGCCCCTAGGCCAATGCATTCCATCTCACTGAGGCTCTACGAGCACTTCAAGGAGTGCGGCGAGGCACGTTTCATTTCCGGTCCAACGTGAGACATCGGATGGAATGCAAGCTTCACGACCTAGAGCGTGTGGATGCACAACTTGGCCGTCATGGGCCAAGGGCCAGATTTTGCGATAGGTGAAGCGCGTGTGCATCAAAATCGACAAGATGTCTGGAGAAAGGACTGGGGCATTTGTCGAACAGGATGGGAAGTTGGCTTTGCCCATTCAGGTTTCTCACTCGAAGTTTTGTAGGCGACTCGGAAGAAGATCCACTCGAGGTTCCATTGAGCTTCAGATTCACTCATTTGCTTAAACCAGGTCTTGGTTTTGCCCGCGCAGGTTGGGCCACGCCTATGTGGACTTTGCCGAGGAGTCTCAGGCGGAGGCAGATCGAAGCAGGACACGTGACATTGCAGAAATTATCATGAATTCACCTGAGAACGCCACCATTGTTGTGGCTTTGTCGTGCATTCCCGAATCCACGCCGTGCACATGTACCTAGTCTGCAAATGAAGACTTCGAATGAGTTAGCATGTATACATATAGTATGTATACATATATATATATATATATATTAATCATATGTGCATATTTGTCGAATACCTATACACGTACATGCGTACTTTGTTTTTGACCCCCAAACACCAGGTTTTCCCGATTCAAACCATGGAACACTTTTTGCGTGGCTGTGCTGGCATGCTGCTGTGAAGGATCTTTTCATTCCTCGCAATCAGATTGATCCCTGAGCAGATTCCTGCGCTTCGTTCCAGATGGCTCAACAGACACACACATGGCTCCCTGAAAACCCACATTGAAGACTGCTGGTGCCCAGACTTTGGTTAACACATACATCAACTGACTTTCTCAGCCATCTGAACTTACCAACCGGACCCACAAACCGACTGCCCGGCGCCCGTTTTGTTTGGCGCTATGGCATGGCCGGCATGTCCGGCATCGGAGGCGCGGCCCGAGGTCAGCGACAGCTCTGTCAGAGGTTGACTTGATTGGAAGCGACTTGGAGCTTGTCCATTGCCAGGGCTCGATGCCGTGCCTTGGCAAGCAGGGCGGGGCGGGACGTACATGGCTCTTTGGGCCCCACTTTCCCGGGCTGGGGCAGTGGGATGTGGGCATGCATCCATTTCTGCAGCTCGCTTCAATCCGAATCCTGTCCGTTGTCTACTACTTGTAGTTTGCGAAATGTGGCGCCTGCTGCTCTTGCCGACCGCCCTCGCACTTCGCGATGAGCGGCTTCACGCGGATCTCGACTTGGAGGCCGGGCTTCTCACGAGAGAGCGAATGGCTTGATGGTCTCGTGGGTTTTCTGGCGGGATGGGCGCGGAACCGTGTTTTCTTGCTTCGCCCTTCCATGGCCCCGCCGAGAAATGTGGGGGAAATGCCTATCAGCGAACAGTGCCCCCAATCGGCGACTCCCAATCAGCGACGGCCAATCAGCGAACACACGCGTGCCAATCAGCGATTGACGCGGGACCCATCCGCGAATATCAACAGCTAGTCGCGAATGCTTGTGCAGGAATGACTCAGGGTTTGGTTTAGGGTTAGGTTTCAGGGTTTGGTTTAGAGTTTGGTGTAGGGGTTTCCTGTGGCGGGTCGACTCTTTCTGCTGGTAAGGATTTCTTTTAGGCTTTCCTGTGGTGGGTCGCCTCTTTCCGCTGGTCAGGATTCTTTATAAGGTTTACTGTGGCGGGTGGACTCGTTCTGCTGGTCAGGATTCCTTTTAGGGTTTCCTGTGGCGGGGTGTGGCCGGGATTCCTTTTAGGATTTCCTGTGGCGGGTGGACTCGTTCTGCTGGCCGGGATTCCTTTTAGGGTTTCCTGTGGCGAGGTGACTCTTTCTGCTTGTCAGGATTCCTTTTAGGATTTCCTGTGGCGGTGACTCTTTCTGCTGGCAGGGATTCCTTTTAGGGTTTCCTGTGGCGGGGTGACTCTTTCTGCTGGACGGGATTCCTTTTAGGATTTCCTGTGGCGGGGTGACTCTTTCTGCTGGCCAAGATTCCTTTTAGGGTTTCCTGTTGCGGGATGACTCTTTCTGCTGGCCGGGATTCCTTTTAGGGTTTCCTGTGGCGGGGTGACTCTTTCTGCTGGCCGGGATTCCTTTTAGGGTTTCCTGTGGCGGGGTGACTCTTTCTGCTGGCCGGGATTCCTCCTAGGGTTTTCTGTGGCGGGGCGACTCTTCCTGCTGGCCGGGATTCCTTTTAGGGTTTTCTGTGGCGGGTCGACTCTTTCTGCTTGTCAGGATTCTTTTTAGGCTTTCCTGTGGCGAGGTGACTCTTTCTGCTGGTCAGGATTCTTTTTAAGGTTTACTGTGGCGGTGGACTCGTTCTGCTGGTCAGGATTCCTTTGAGGGTTTGCTGTGGCGGGTCGACTCTTTCTGCTTGTCAGGATTCTTTTTAGGGTTTTCTGTGGCGGGGTGATTTTTTCTGCTGGCCGCGATTTCTTTTAGGGTTTCCTGTGGCGGGGTGACTCTTTCTGCTGGCCGGGATTCCTTTTAGGATTTCCTGTGGCGGGGTGACTCTTTCTGCTGGCCGGGATTCCTTTTAGGGTTTCCTGTGGCGGGATGACTCTTTCTGCTGGCCGAGATTCCTTTTAAGGTTTCCTGTGGCGGGGTGACTCTTTCTGCTGGCCGGGATTCCTTTCAGGGTTTTCTGTGGCGAGGGGACTCTTTCTGCTGGCCAGGATTCCTTTTAGGGTTTTCTGTGGCGGGGTGACTCTTTCTGCTGGCCGGGATTTCTTTTAGGGTTTTCTGTGGCGGGGTGACTCTTTCTGCTGGCCGGGATTCCTTTTAGGGTTTCCTGTGGCGGGGTGACTCTTTCTGCTGGCCGGGATTCCTTTTAGGCTTTCCTGTCGCGGGGTGACTTTTTCTGCTGGCCGGGATTCCTTTTAGGATTTTTCCTGTGGCGGTAGGTTCTGCTGGCAGGGATTCCTTTTAGGGTTTCTGTGGCGGGGTGACTCTTTCTGCTGGCGGGATTCCTTTTAGGGTTTCCTGTGGCGGGGTGACTCTTTCTGCTGGCCGGGATTCCTTTTAGGGTTTCCTGTGGCGGGGTGACTCTTTCTGCTGGCCGGGATTCCTCCTAGGCTTTCCTGTCGCGGGGTGACTTTTTCTGCTGGCCGGGATTCCTTTTAGGATTTCCCGTGGCGGGGTGACTCTGTCTGCTGGCCGGCATTTCTTTTAGGGTTTCCTGTGGCGGGGTGACTCTTTCTGCTGGCCGGGATTCCTTTTAGGGTTTCCTGTGGCGGGGTGTGGCGGGGTGACTCTTTCTGCTGGCCGGGATTCCTTTTGGAGTTTCCTGTGGCAGGGTGTGGCCGGGATTCCTTTTAGGGTTTTCTGTGGCGGGGTGACTCTTTCTGCTGGCCGGGATTCCTCCTAGTGTTTTCTGTGGCGGGGCGACTCTTCCTGCTGGCCGGGATTCCTTTTAGGGTTTCCTGTGGCGGGGTGACTCTTTCTGCTGGCCGGGATTCCTTTAGGGGTTCCTGTGGCGGGTGACTTTTTGCTGGCCGGGAGGGTTCCTGTCGCGGGGTGTGGCCGGGATTCCTTTTAGGATTTCCTGTTGCGGGGTGACTCTTTCTGCTGGCCGGGATTCCTTTTAGGGTTTCCTGTGGCGAGGTGACTCTTTCTGCTGGCCGGGATTCCTTTTAGGGTTTTCTGTGGCGGGATGTTTTTTTTTGCTGGCCGGGATTCCTTTTAGGGTTTTCTGTGGCGGGGTGACTCTTTCGGGATTCCTTTCAGGGTTTCCTGTTGCGGGGTGACTCTTTCTGCTGGCCGGGATTCCTCCTAGGGTTTTCTGTGGCGGGGCGACTCTTCCTGCTGGCCGGGATTCCTTTTGGGGTTTCCTGTGGCGGGATGACTCTTTCTGCTGGACGAGATTCCTTTTAGGGTTTTTCTGTGGCGGGGTGACTCTTTCTGCTGGCCGGGATTCCTTTTAGGGTTTCCTGTGGCGGGGTGTGGCCGGGATTCCTTTTAGGATTTCCTGTGGCGGGGTGACTCTTTCTGCTGGCCGGGATTCCTTTCAGGGTTTCCTGTGGCGGGGTGATTCTTTCTGCTGGCCGCGATTCCTTTTAGGGTTTCCTGTGGCGGGGTGACTCTTTCTGATGGCCGAGATTCCTTTTAGGGTTTCCTGTGGCGGGATGACTCTTTCTGCTGGCCGAGATTCCTTTTAAGGATTCCTCTGGCGGGGTGACTCTTTCTGCTGGCCGGGATTCCTTTTAGGGTTTCCCGTGGCGAGGTGACTCTTTCTGCTGGCCAGGATTCCTTTTAGGGTTTTGTGTGGCGGGGTGACTCTTTCTGCTGGCCGAGATTCCTTTTAGGGTTTTCTGTGGCGGGGTGATTCTTTCTGCTGGCCGCGATTCCTTTTAGGGTTTCCTGTGGCGGGGTGACTCTTTCTGCTGGCCGGGATTCCTTTTAGGATTTCCTGTGGCGGGGTGACTCTTTCTGCTGGCCGAGATTCCTTTTAGGGTTTCCTGTGGCGGGATGACTCTTTCTGCTGGCCGAGATTCCTTTTAAGGATTCCTGTGGCGGGGTGACTCTTTCTGCTGCCCGGGATTCCTTTTAGGGTTTCCTGTGGCGAGGTGACTCTTTCTGCTGGCCGAGATTCCTTTTAGGGTTTTCTGTGGCGGGGTGACTCTTTCTGCTGGCCGAGATTCCTTTCAGGGTTTTCTGTGGCGGGATGACTCTTTCTGCTGGCCGGGATTCCTTTTAGGGTTTCCTGTGGCGGGGTGACTGTTTCTGCTGGCCGGGATTCCTCCTAGGGTTTTCTGTGGCGGGGCGACTCTTCCTGCTGGCCGGGATTCCTTTTAGGGTTTCCTGTGGCGGGGTGACTCTTTCTGCTGGCCGAGATTCCTTTTAGGGTTTTCTGTGGCGGGGTGACTCTTTCTGCTGGCCGGGATTCCTTTTAGGGTTTCCTGCGGCGGGGTGTGGCAGGGATTCCCTTTAGGATTTCCTGTGGCGGGGTGACTCTTTCTGCTGGCCGGGATTCCTTTTAGGGTTTCCTGTGGCGAGGTGACTCTTTCTGCTGGCCGGGATTCTTTTTAGGGTTTTCTGTGGCGGGATGACTCTTTCTGCTGGCTGGGATTCCTTTTAAGGTTTTCTGTGGCGGGGTGACTCTTTCTGCTGGCCGGGATTCCTTTTAGGGTTTTCTGTGGCGGGGCGACTCTTTCTGCTGGCCTGCATTCCTTTTGGGGTTTCCTGTGGCGGGATGACTCTTTCTGCTGGCCGAGATTCCTTTTAGGGTTTCCTGTGGCGGGGTGACTCTTTCTGCTGGCCGGGGTTTCTTTTAGGGTTTCCTGTGGCGGGGTGACTCTTTCTGCTGGCCGGGATTCCTTTTAGGGTTTTCTGTGGCGGGTCGGGTCTTTCTGCTGGTCAGGATTCCTTTTAGGGCAGAATTTCTTTTAGGGTTTCCTGTGGCGGGTCGGCTCTTTCTGCTGGTCAGGATTCCTTTTAGGGTTTCCTGTGGCGGGTGGGCTCTTTCTGCTGGTAAGGATTTCGTTTAGGCTTTCTTGTGGTGGGCCGCCTCTTTCTGCTGGTCAGGATTCTTTTTAAGGTTTACTGTGGCGGGTCGGCTTTTTCTGCTGGTGAGGATTCCTTTTAGGGTTTCCTGTGGCGGGTCGACTCTTTCTGCTTGTCAGGATTCTTTTTAGGCTTTCCTGTGGTGGGTCGCCTCTTTCTGCTGGTCAGGATTCTTTTTAAGGTTTACTGTGGCGCGTGGACTCGTTCAGCTGGTCAGGATTCCTTTCAGGGTTTGCTGTGGCGGGTCGACTCTTTCTGCTTGTCAGGATTCTTTTTAGGGTTTTCTGTGGCGGGGTGATTCTTTCTGCTGGCCGCGATTCCTTTTAGGGTTTCCTGTGGCGGGGTGACTCTTTCTGCTGGCCGGGATTCCTTTTAGGATTTCCTGTGGCGGGGTGACTCTTTCTGCTGGCCGGGATCCCTTTTAGGGTTTCCTGTGGCGGGA